GATTCACGCTGAGTTGTCGAAATATTTGTACATGTTTGTCGACTAATACTTTTCCATGATATCCATTTTGAAAGATTCTATATTCAATACTAGCCAGTTCTGAAAATTTGTATACTTAGGAAAAGTATATAAATATTTTAAGAATTATGTTTCACATAAATTCGGACAAATTTAACATCTGTTATATACGGTTAATAAAAACATCGTAGAATTCAAATTTGTATAATTAATCTTACAAGATCAATTGATTTTACAAATTTCGATTGATTTTACAAGATCAATTGATTTTACAATTGATTTTAAAGAAAAATAATCGCAATATCTTATGTAAGAATTGAAATAAATTTTACATGAATCTATCCACGTTCAAAAATCGGAAAAAATATTACGGCAGTGTTAGTTTTTTTCTTTTTTTTTTTTTTTAAATAACATGTCTTCTCGAAAATTTATTATATACATAATATCTGTCATGTTTAACAATAAGAAGAAGAATTTTATTCTCTTTTCTTCTGAAATTGGAAGCTTGACTAAAAGGGAACCAAATATTTCCAATAGTTTAATAAGTGTAACCGCTATACCGCTGTCTCCCGTTTACTATTTTTACCTGGTCAAACGATTCCATTGATTTTCATTCAAATAATAGTACGGTAGTTTTTGTAAAATGCTTTAAAAGAAAAAAGGTATACCTTCCGATTCTTTTTCTTTCCGTTTACCTTATGAATGGAATTGTCCCCTTACAGACAAATATTCGAGAGGATTGTAAAATAAAATGTTCATATAAACGAATCGAATAAAACAGAAAAATATAATACTAAATCATATCAATGATATTAATTTTAGATTTTTACGATAACGCGATTATACTTAAATATAGAAATATCATTTTCTCTGATATATATATATATATATAACTTTGAAGAATATTTTTAAATTGTTTATGGATTATCAAAGGACCACCCATGGGTTTTTTCCGTAGTTTTTGATAAATTTAGAAGACTTTATTTTGCTCGTGTCGTTGAAATCAGAAATAAAAGAAAAGATACCTCGGTGCTCTTGGGACCGTACTCTTTTGTCAAAATATAAAGAATAAAATAGGCTTTAGGAAAAATCCCCTTCAACAAAGAATAAAATTCTTTCACGTTCTCAAAACACAGAATACAAAAGACACAAAAGTCCAAAGTCCTAAAAAATTATTTTATTATATCTAACACTTTCTCCGTTCAAGGTCCATCGTCTAATTAACGATATTTTTTCTACGTTAAAGATAAAATGTGTTTGTTTGAATAAAACATAAAACAAACAACAAAAATCTAATATTGTAATTATTCGAACTATAATTTAAAACCAAACGTGAATAATGCTTTTAGATAAGATCAACGATAATAGATAAATAATATAAAACAAATATAACAATTTTTGATTTTTCCATACGGCATCGATGGATTATCGAAAGGCCGTTAATAAAGAAAGGAGAAAGAAAGAAAGAAAGAGAAAGAAAAAGAAAAAGAAAAGGACAAAAAAATGTCAACGGGTCATTAGTAGTAGCCAAGAAGAAGCAAGTTCGATCGGCCTTGGCAAGGACTCAGCAAGCTCGTGTTCTCCTATTAAGAAACAACTCGATGTATATATATAAAAGTATATCATCATATACATATATATATATATATATATACCTACTTACATATATCTATATACTTGGTTCGTACGTGTTATATTTGACGAAGCGTGGAGTGAAAACGTCGATGTTAGGCATTCGACCAATCATGAAGCTTACCCTGCCGGCATATGTACCTCGTCTCGAAGTGTCACGCACACGTGCTCGTGTAATACGTGCGAGTATACAGGTGAGCTTCTTACCTAACCCCACCAATGTTCGAATGGCTAACGCGAGTGGGAGGAAGGGTATGGTGGGAGGACCGGGGTAGGGGCAGGGGCAGGAGCAAGGGGGGTAGTTGGGTTGTTCGCTTACACACATGGACATCAACCTAACGCGGATGTTGCACGATAAACTTACGAGGAAATTTACTCGCGTTGCCGTTACACACGGGTTCCATATTATACCTTGTTAGAATTGCCGTGATCATTCCCGACACGAAGGCGATGACGAAGATGACGAGGAAGAACGAGGAAGAACGAGGAAGAACGAAAACGGACGAGGAAGAACGAAAACGGACGAGGAAGAACGAAAACGGACGAGGTCGTTACATAAATAATATAATCCTATGCGTATTAACAAAAGATATGTTTTTTTAATATTATTTATTTATTTGTTTTTTTCTTTTTTCTCTCCTTTTTGTCTCTTTTAACAATTTCTATTCGTAATCGTGTGTAATCGTTAAGCGTTGGTTGCATCAGTGGTCATTAAGGTTCATTTTAAGCACCGATGTTTATCGAATGAGATAAGGTAGTATTTAAATAGCTATATATCAATGTATGTTTATTTTAACAAAATAGAATAAGAATCTCATTTTATCTTTTTTTTCTTATTTTATATCTAACGTTTATGAATCATTCAATTTTAATAGGTATAATATATAATATAATAGGTAATATACGTTATTTAGGACTAATTCAAATATCTTCTAGTTGTAATAAATATATATGATACTATGTGATTCAAACAACAATGAATTTATCTTTATTTATTTTATCTTCCTTTTCTTCCTTGCAGCGATAAACAAAGATAAGGGAAAAATAATTTATTCGTTAATAGGGTTGCGTTAAGCAAATATAACCATTAAACTCGCATTCCTTTACTGATATTATATTTTTATAAGTTAATTATAAAAATGAGCTATTCATTTTTAACATTTCTTTTATATTCCAATGGGCAATTGTTACGCACAATCTATGTCTTTAGACAAATAAAATAAATTTTACAATTTAACTTTCGTGTCTAAAACGTTAAAACGATGACCCCGTCCTCACCTATTGCATAGGAAAACAAAAACATTCGTATGCGAATACTTTTACATAACGTTCATTAATGATCATGCAGCTGTAAGCTGTATTCGAGTGTTAATTGAACGATGTTACATATTTTGCCGTTGACTTCAGATGTAATTTGAATTCCTCTTACAGTTAAAATATCAATAATACATACATAGATACACACACGGATCTTACATTAATTCGTCGCGTTGAGGAAGTCACGCAACGGTCGAGAGTCCGAGACCCCAAAAAAATGAGGACATTCTGAAAAGTGTGTAAGACAGCGAGCAAGAGGGAGTGGAGGAGCTCGGAGACCTCCAAATATCGTTGGTGGTTCCGGATTTCGGTAGGCGGCGAAACGGTCAGAAAAAAAGGAACAAAAAGGAAGAAGAAAGAAAAAAAAATGAAAGAAAAAGGAAGAGAAGGGCCGAAAAACGAAGAACGAACACCTTCGATCATGCTCGTGCTCAATACCAATTCTTCTTTATATAAATGTATAACTAACATAAGTAAATGTTCGTACGATTATTAGCCCTGTCTGAGTCATTGGAATAATAATAACTCGTTTGTTTGTTTCTTCGTTCGTTCATAGATATAAAGATAATTCGTATGAAGGAGGACTACTATACAGAAAAAAATAATCAAATTTAGAACGCATTTTTTGTAACACTTTTTTTCCTTATAAAACGTTAATCGATGACCTCCATAATTCTACACCGTCGGAGATAATCGTATCGTGTATCGAGTCTTAAAATAAACACCCAGACAACTATGATAATCATCATCGATTAAAATAACGCACAAATGGTGGTGGTGAATCGACAATCGCCATTGTTGCTATCTGAACGAACGATTAACACGGCCAAGTTTTTACTCTTGGTAATAGTCCGGTTAAACAATTAGAGCAAGAAGGGTTTTCGTCTTCGGTAATAGGATAAAGAAATTCATTACAAGATAGTTTAACGTAGGAAACCAAAAGTTGGTCGTCTTACATTAGCACGTGATAATGACGACGATATAACGACGAAAACGATTTCGTTACCGTCGCACATATTATTATGATTATTGCCTTTCTTTTTCCCGATCTTGGTTTTCTTACGTTCGTTTTCTTAGTTTCGTCTTGGATTTTCGCTTCAAAATAAAAAGTCTACGAGTTTTCTCTCTCTCTCTCTCTCTCTTTCTTTCTTTCTTTCTTTCAACTCCTCCCACTCTTCTTTTTCTTTCGCTTCCTTCTTCTAATCGAGCAGCAGGAACGCCGTCACTCTTCTAGTTTTGTCCTGTTTACCAAGTAGGCCAATCGAGATGGAGAGTAAACGTGGATCGGGGCTGCGCAGTTATGGGGAGACGTTTTATTTTTACACGCGTGCGCGTGCGCTTGTACGAGCATCGAATGAGTGCGCGCGCACACATATATTTACACATTTATACTTTTGTATCTGCTGTGTGTGTGTGTGTACAAGCTTCTTGTGGTCAACTACCAACAGACTTTGTTTCGTTGTTCGTATAAGATCACGTATATACAAACGATAACACGCTAACGCGAAACGGAGCATAAAACTGAATACATTGTTATGTTCTCTTGTCGTTTCTATTACGGACTATTACACTTGCCAAATGCTAAAAATGTTATATTTCTTTTTAAAAGAATTAACTTTTAAAAAAAAGATCGATTGAATAATGATAATGTAATATACGTACTATCTCCTATTTATTAAAATTACCGTAAAACATTTATGATTTATATTATAGACCACTCGTTGAAATCTCTTTCTAATCTTTATTAAGAGACTTCAATGCCGGAGACCTCGACGCCTGCATAAGCAAGACTTCTACAATAAATACTTACGCAAAAAGAAACAAAAAAATTGATACCCGGTGACTTCGACGCCTGTACAAGCAAAACTTCCACGACCACTACTTATTATTAAAAAGCATATAATAATAATAATAATAATAATAATAATAATAATAATAATAATAATAAAAATATCATAGGAAAAATTGATTTCGTAAGAAAATTGCTAATAACTATTATCATCCATTCTCCTCGTAGCATACTTATTACTTACTTTTACATGAAGCATCGTTTGGGGTTACAATCGAGTAACTCAATAACATAAAAATCATTTCCGCGTAACCGAGGTGTTGGAAAGTAATCGGACCGCTATAAGCTTGTGGGCCCATTTCTTCCTCATAGAAATTGTCCTTAATAACTCGGGATTATTTCCACGGTGGTTTTAATATACAATTTAGGAACGACTATTAATGACCTTGAACCCATAAAACCCATAGAAACGAAATAATTACATTAGTCCGTCTTATAATAATTATCGTTAGATAGATAATTACAAGTCAGGTATACCTATACTTACGTTTAGTAAGTATTATTTACTTTCTTCTTAACTATTCTTTTAATGCGTCAATTTATTTCACGATTAATTCTACAAAAAAAAGAATACACACAAAAATGTTTTGCTCATTCATCTATTCGAGTCCGACATATTATTAAGGGTGAACCAATTATTGTGTTAAAACTTTACTTCGAAGCTACACAATGGGATTAACATATAACACAGAAGAGAGAGTATTATAAATTATATTATATTAATAATAAAAAAAAAAAAAAAAAAAAAATAGAGAGAAGAAGGAAAAAATACAAATGAAAATTAGCCTCGCGAGAAAAGTTACGTATTATTTTATCCCCCGTGAGGTATCTAAGCGAACCGTTAGTTCGAAGAAGCTGAAGTAATCGGATCGCAGAGTTCTCACGAATACTGGGGGACTATATTCTTCATGATCGATAGCGCATATGAGAAGATAGACGAGCCTTTTCTACAGAGAATGATCGTACGGATTTATAAAGAATTGCGATAACGATGACAACGATGACGACGAGGAGGACAACGACAACGACAACGACAACGACGACGACGACAACGAGAAGGAGGAGGAGGAGGAACGATACAGCACACACATAGGTACATATATAGTAGCATAGTATAACATAGGTAAGTGTGTTTGTGGGTCAGTGGCACAGAAAAGTTGCCGGCCACCGCCGCCACCGCCATTGCCCATCACCATCCCGCAACTGCTTGGTAGTACCACCACAATGACTCGTCGTAAGCAGAGTTATGTTGTTGGCTGGCAAAATTATATATATATCTACCTTCTATATCTATCAACCAACCTATACCTATACCTATATACACTTAACTATCTACCAACAAACGAATGAACCAACCAACCAACCAACCAACCTCCTCTCCTGCGTCATACGGAACATAAAGTGCCATTGTTCTTGAACTTGTACGCCGTCTACGTACGCGATCTAACACACGCGATACGAGGACCCCACGTTGCCATTTGAACCGAGTTTCTCCATGATATCGTATCTCTCCTTGTTTTCTTTTTTAATGTCTTTTTAACAAACCATCAAACAAACGTATATCATCGTTATATTCTATATATCTTTTTATTGTGTGATATTTGTATATAAATTTGTAATATTTATATATATATATATATATTGATTTTATTTATATTATTTATATATATTGATAGATTTGTAATATTAATATAAATGTGAGAACAACAACCAGAAATGATTAAAGAAACAAATGTTAACAAATGTTCTAATGCCTATTAGTCCGAGTCCTATCTGACACGATTACAAGTTTATAAGTGTTACAATATTCGGGTAAAAGTAAAATCATATTTTAAAGTAGATTCCCAAGAGAGTATCTTTAAATTAACAATAATGCTTGTTATAATAAACATATTAGTTTAAGTATCAATATTGAATTGCTGTAGATATTGATAGTTCAAATGTTAACTATTATAATATATACTTTAACGATCAATGTTTAACTATACTATCACTGGCACACGTTTCCTATTATGTATCTAATAATAGTGATTTATTACTATTTCTACAGAAAAATAATAAATACCTAGGTTTAGCTTGTTAAATTTTTGAACAACCTTCCGCAACCCTTACGGAATCTTATTAAAATTCTTACTTGTTGTACTTGTTAAAATTCGTTTTTTAAGAATCGATAAATTACAATGGTTAAAAGACATAAAGGATCGTAATAAAGAAACGTAGGTTCTTTTTCCTTCGATAGTTGAGTTTTGTCGTCGTCGTTTTATATAACGCAGTTGATCCTGCTGCTGCTGCTGCTGCTGCTAATCCAGATTACGCCACATCGTGTTAACGTGAAAACCGAAGAGTTACTTATTTATCTCGCCATATAGATAACTCCTTCTAACGAATAATGTTCACCCATTGGTAGTAGTGTATATATTTTTTTTTTTCTTTTTTTGCGCGCGAAAACAAAACAAAACAAAATAAAATAAAACGGCGAAGGTAAGGCCGCGTCGATCGACGATCTTATCTCGATCGAACGTTCTTTCAAGAGTTCCTTGCACCTGTGTACGCCATTGCAACATAATATAACAATTATACTGCAACCGATGGCGTTACGTTCTGCAAGCACCGTGCAAAAATAAACGATACCATTGAAAAACATTCGACAAACCGTACTAATCCAACTTGCTCAATCATATTGATTCCCCCCTTCCCTCCCCGCCCCATCCCACCCAACCCAACCCCAACTAGCACGATCATTTTTATCGCCGTCTATTTTAACATAAATACAAATCATTTTGTAAAAAGCCATTTGTATCGGATATAAGAATTTGTTCTCTATTTAAAAACACATTATCTAAGCAATTAACACCTCATAATAAAGTATTAAAAGATTTTTAAATTAGTTTCGACATTAAATAATAGTATTTTTTATTATCTTCTAACGCGTATATTTAATATTAATTATCTTTAATCATATATTCAACGCGTAAGACTCATCTTTTTTTACGATATGATCGAGACAAAGATAAATATTTTTACTCTCACCAATCATCTATCTTATATACATTTTTCTAACATGCATTTACATCGCATACAATTATATCAAATTAAATCATTACTATACATAAATAATACTTATATATGTATTATATATCTATAAATGAATCATAACGTAAAAGTATATCTTATGTTTAGATTACTACGATATTTGATATAATTTGTAATCGCTGCAAATGACGAAGAACAATTTCAGATAGGTATGACAATAATATTATAATGGTCGCAAATATTCTAATTCAATAATACAATAAGAAAACGAGGAAGGAGAAGGAGGAAGAGGAGGAAGACGAGGAAGAGGAAATTTTGTTTAACAGGCTGCACCACGATTCTACAGTTAAACGTTATTCTAACGGTCGTGCTTTGAATTTTGGACGTCCGAAAAAGCTTACTGGATACGCGCGTAATACATATATACATGGGGCCCGTTTACTTGGGACCTACACCTTGACATTCGACCGACGAACGGAGAAAATCGTGTCAAACGCACCGCACTCGTGACTTCCTCGACCTAAATTTTAATTCACACGCGGCGGTTCTATTAAAGGATAGACAAACGGAGACAAGAATACCTGTCGAAGGATCTACATTCTTTCTCTCTCTCTTTTTTCTATTCTCTATTTTACTTTTTTTCTTCTTTTTTTTTTTATATCTTTCTCTTCCTTCTTTACGCTCACTTTTAACGCGACCAACGTTTACGGTGAAACGTCAGATTTTTGTTGACAAATTTCATCACTTTTACCGTCATTCTAATAGTCGCGTTTACTAGTCATGTTTCAAATACATTTGTTTCTATTCATTTCGTAATTTTGTGCAAAATTATTATATAAAAAAAAAAAAAATAGATATTTGACAATATCTCGCTTATATGAATATTCGTAAAATTATCTTCCTAGTTTTAAATCTTATGTAAATAATTTGGAATTCAATTCAATACCACCGTTGTATATCCTTTAAACGATTAATTTACAAGTATTCATTTTAACAATATCTTATCATATTAATTGATTTTTCAAACGAAAGTAAACATTTCGATAATAAAAATCTAAGAAAGTTGCAAGAGAAATTTATTCGTACATACCACGAAATAATATTACAATTTAAAAGGAAGTTTTGATAAACGTAAAGAAACTCACGATAAAACTGCATAAAAGTTTAACGATAGAACACACGGAAGAAATATAACTTCTCTTCTTTTTTTTTTTATTCGAAACGAATTTTTATATTATACATTTACGAGTCAATTAAAAAGATTTATTTACATTGCGTATATATGTAATAATTTACCTAGAGTACGACGAAAAAGAAAGGGAAGGGGTATTTCGTCGAAAGAAACCTAAGGGGGTTGAAATTATATAAGATGGATTTGTATAATTGGATTAAAAATCGCAAATGACACGAAGAACGATGTCGCGATTTCGCGTGATCTCTTTTTTTTCCTGTTTCTTATATTCTTTTTTTTATTTTTCTTTTTTTTTTTTATTTATTCCATTCCATGTTCGCCAAAGAAAAAGATAGCGTGGCCAGTGGTGTGTGCCGAGGCATAACATACTGCAGCCACCAGTGGCATTACCACTTCGTTACGCTCCTGTATTTTTCCGAAACTTTATATTCCTACGTTGCGTTGCTCCGTTGTGTTTCGTTGCGGAGAAGGCCGCGAACCGTGGCAAAAATTAATGATAACGCGCGGACGTATAACACCAACCGTAATTAATAACACTACAAATAATATCTAACAAATAAAATGTTAGTTACGTGTGTTGAAATTCAGGAAGATAAATATAAATGTGTGTATATATACGCGTAAAATGATAAGTAAATGTGTGTTTACGTGTGTATATATATATATATACAGGGGGAGTGAATTAAGATTTCCACAAGGGTGGAAAAAAACTGATTAAAAGGGTGTTATTTCCATTCTAACGAAATAAATCGTAAAAACTTGAATTCTCGAGAATTTTCTTCTACCAACGTTGGCCAATTTTTTTGATGAGGAATAACGTATCCTACCTGTTGCGTCACTATCAATGGGATCCGTAAAGAATTTTTTGAAGAATTCTGTGTCATGTAACTTTGACATTCTTCAACCTGTCCCTAGAAAATAAATATCTATGGTATAAAAGAAAAGATTGAAAGTGAGCTTCCCAAATAAAAGGAGAGACAAATAAATTATACACGGAAGTAAAATTTTGACGAATTGCGGTAGACCTATAGTTGAAAAAAGCCGACTGTTGTTTTCTTTACCTCTTGGCTTACGGAGGTGGTCCTTACCACCTGTTGCTCCGTTTTGATGTTACGACAATTCAGATTCAAGAAGAATCTTCGTGTCCTCAAAACATTTTTTCTATAGAACCTGTGTCAATCCGACAGGTTTACATGTTGAATTTAACAAATATATACAAATATTTCACAACCGAATCCAATCGCAATTGAGCTTTCTTAGAAGCTACTTTATACATCTGAAAATATTTTTTATCCTCCCTTAGGTTTTAGGTAGACAACCAAAAAAAAGATTGAGGTGAAAACGAAACTCTTTTCTTCGATGTATAGACTTTGAATGTCATTGAATAGAAGAAAAGAACAAATAACAATTCTCTTTGGAAATAATAGAAAAAAATAAAAAATAAAAATATCTGTGCAACCAACACTCTTAACTATTCTTTCAAATAATAGATACAAAATTATATATATATATATATATATATATAAACAAAAAAATTATATAGAATATAGATATAAGAAAAAAAAAACATAAATTAATAATTAAAAATCGACAAACAATTTAATTAATATGATTGGGTCTTTCGATTGAATAATCCAAGTGTCTGCAGAAATAACAAACCTCTATACGGTACACATAGATACATACATACATATATATACCCTGAAAGGATTCAGGGCAGTATGCCAGCGCTGTTCGCGGGAGAGGATAGCAAGATAACATGTAGAAAGAAGAAGAAGAGAAAGAGGAAGGAAGACACAGAAGCTCTCCTTCTTTGAGTTCCAAGCATCGAAGAGTAAATTCTCCGAGATTCTCCTCTTCGCCTTCCCGACACTCCTGCTGGCCCGTACGTACCGTAGGCCCGTCACACTCCGTAGACCGGCCTAACCGGCCCGACTATCTAACTATTCGCTTATGTTAGACAGAAAAGAGAAGCCAGTCCTCTTCACTTTTACCGCAAAATGAGCTGAAAAGCGCGAGTTACTCGTGCCGCGAAACGTTACTCTTCTCTTATGTTTTTTGTCTTTCTTCTTCATTTTCTTACGTTTCTTATTTAGCGTGCCTTCAGCGAATCCACGAGAAGTATAATATGAGAAATCGTTCTTCGTTTTTTTTTATATTAACAATACAACTTTTTTTTATCGACGATTTAAATTATGCTATGTTATTTATTTTTTATATATATATATACTATATTAGAGATTTTATTTTTTAATTAAATATTTTTCAGAATGAGTAGGAACTATTTTAAAGATGGCTTCAATAAATTAAGAATGGTGACCAGTCTGTATAATATTATTATATATATAATGTATATACATAACACGATACGCTAATTAACTGTGTTATTGGAGGATTGCCTCTATTTAATTATAAAATACTAATCATATTACATAGATATGAATTAATAAAACCCACTACTAATCACTAAATTCTTACCACTTGAAATATTTTTTTATTTACGGTGATCCCAAAACCCTATCACTACATTCAATTTGATTGTTCGTTGATGATTAATTAAGTTAAATGTATTCTATATCAAAATTGCATAAATTAATGCGATCCCGGTGTGTTTTCGCCGTCCTGGCTGACTCAGGGTACCTTCCTTCGTTGTTTTGCTTTCTCTTTCGGGAATGGCATGCTCTAATTCCTTTGAACGCAAAGCTGTTCGTTCATCGTTCGATGGATGCGTCCTCCGCCTTTTATTTCTTCGTTTCAATTTTCTTGGAGATCATTCCCATTTGAATCGATAGATATCAGATTGAATAAATAAGCGATTATTTTTACGGAATAATTGTAACAATAATAAAATAATTGTGTTCTAATTTTATCTATGAATCGTGCTATTTTAAAAAAAAAATCGCTGCATTCAACTTCGATTTAAATTAAAATAAAAACTAACAAAACACGTGAAAATGTTATTATAATATGAAAATAAATGTATTATATTATGTATATGCATAATATATATATTTATATATTACATTAAATTACGAAGTACAATATGTTAGAAAATATTGTATACAGACATAAATTCTTTTTAAGTTATAACATACATCTTGTTAAAATCACACTTTACAAAAATAATCTTCATTTTTTTTAAAGCTTCTAGTTTTGCACAGTTTCATCTTTTTTAACATTCAAATTATAATTATGTGTATCGCTACAATAATACAATAAAAAAAAAGATATATTATCTTATAAATAATTCAATATGATTGTTTTCTATTCGTTGTTAGAAATATTAGGCTTATATAATATAAAATCAATATAAATTGATATATATATAAAAGGAAATATAAAATATAAAATTACTTTCAGGTACATTGCATACATTTGAATGATCGAATTTAACAAGAGCTAGAAAATGCAATCACAGAACGATCCCTCGTGAAAGATAAAATAATTCACGAATCTTTACACGATTAAATCGCAAAGCATGAGATTTTGAACTCCATCTCAAGACCTAAACACCTAAGAATAATATTTCTTGATTTCTTTGAGCAAAGGTGTCTCTGTTAACTCATTTATTTCGACGAATCTCTTATTAGCTCTACTGAAATAATAAATGTCCCCTGTATAAATATCAAACCATAAAGCATGAATATGTAATTCGTGCCTCTCTAATCTTTTTTTTAAGAAACCATAAGAAGCAATATTTTGAAGCTGTTGTAATGTATTAATCTATGTAGAAAAAATTAGATATTAAAATAAGTTCACTTTTAATAAGTATCTTTCTATTGATACTTACTTGAGACAATTTATCTTCTATGGCAAACTTATTTTCAGGATCAATGTAAACAACAAACTTCCGCAATGGTGTTTCAGCTTGAAACAAAATTGGCTCACGGAACCCAGTGATTTCAAGCTGTTGAAATTTGGCTAAACTGCTACTAGCATGTGCGCATAACCATGCTCTTAATGGTGATATCCTTCGATTCATCTAAAATTCAAATATTATTTTCTTTACTTTGACGATAGATGCATACATGCTTGATATGATATAGAACGCAACTCACTTGAGAAGCAAATTCTTCGTCCTTCAAAGCATACAATAAATTCATCGCTTTACAATCACTGTGCCCACAAACTATAATATGTCTTATGTTGTTGACTACGCAACCAAGTTCCAAAGCAGCTGGCTCGCACATAGTGAGTTCATCCACAAAATGTTGAGAATGTGGAATCAAATTTCCTGCATTTCTTACTAAAAGAGAAATAAGAAGAGATTTCTATCATTAGGATCGAATTCTCGAATAATCAACATTTTCATTTACAAACAACAAATGTACTTCGGTGCTTCGAAGGTGCGATTCTCAAACAAGACTAACAACAAGATTTTATTACATTACCATAATTTTAATTGTATAATTTCATTAAATAAATTAATGAAAGTACAATATAGAAAATCATGTAATTTATAATACTGCATACTCTTCGAATTGCATTTGTTCAATTAATATTCATTTGAGGATTGTCACCTTATAGGCAGTCTCTGATACACCATAATGCATTAGAAATTCCAGATTCTTCATATAGAAATAGTCAGATAGTAGACATTGCATGTGTTAGTGTCATAATGAAGTCTCGTACCGACAAACATGTCCCCAACATTTGTTTCCGTAAATCTAGTTGGTATCATCCGAGAGTCCATGCAGGTAAAGAATACTGCTTTAGGCTGTGATAAGAGGAACGATAAAAGTCAATTACGAAATAAATAAAAGTGTAATATTCACTATAATCACTTCAAATAGAATTATTGATCGTATCATTGGTTCTAAGCAATTATCAGCGACGTCGTTCCTATCGTTAAATTGAATATTGTTATCTATTCACATATATTTTCTAATAAAAAGTATATCTAAATAAGTCGAAAATTTGATGTAGAAACGTGAAATAATAAAAGTTTTTAAACTACGATAAATGAAATCAATCCATAAAGTAGGAAATAGTAATAGTAAAATCTATCATTTAGTATAACGATAACAATGTCAAAGGGCATTTGAAAAAATTTATCAATATTTCTTCATAAAATTTAAAGATATTTCAGGGACACAGAAATAAATGTTAGTATAAATCATTTAATAGTATATAATTGTCAATTGTATTTTTTTTTTGTTTATAATATCTTCTTGTTATTCTTACTAATTAAATATTAGAATGATTCAGTGTCACATGCGATTATAATTTTTTATCATAAACTTACAAATAGAAAACAGGTTAAAAGAGAACACTTGTACTCATATATATAATAAATCATCGTTTAAAAAGATGTTAATGCATTATAAATAGCATACCTCGGGATGATCTCTAACTTTTTGAAATTGTTTAACCATTCCTTCTCTATGACACTGCCTATATTTCATAATACCTTTAATTATTCTATCCATTGTTACGAACCACGTTGAGAGATACTAACTACTGTTGTAACTACTGTATGCCTACGCGTCAACAGTGACAACACACAAATCCGCCATTTGTCAGATTAAAGGCGGATAAAATTTGAAACGATCTTATCAATCAATCTTATCTTTCAATTATTGATTGACATTTTCTCTTCAGAATATATAAAGTAATAATAAAATGATATTTATTTTTCTCATTTATTCGTTTATAATCATAAAATACATAATCTAATTATAAATGCAAAGTTATTAGACTATTATTACTTTATTTATTTTTAAAAACAATTACAGCCGTTAATCCATAATATCAATCATAGATTATTTATTTACTTAATTTTATGTGCGAGGCAGCGCAATTCAAATTTAATATTTAATTTAACATATTTAACACAAAACATACAAATGTGATATTAATACCATGTCATTGAGAATGTATTGTAATAATTGTTTACTCCTATTCCTTGATTAATTTCATATATTAACTGTACGCTATTTTGAAGAAACTAAATACAGTATAAGAAAATATATCTTTTTGAGAAGATCACAAAAGCCACTGTACAAATTTGATGCGAGATATTGATATAACATGGAACAATGACAATATTGTTCGGTCTAAAAAATGAAGTTATTTAGGATTTAAACTAAGTGACATATTTACCATTATAAATAATTCAGACAAAATATTATCTTTATGGCTGTTGATACTGAATTGCTCGTTACAGGTTTACACAGATCCACAATTATTATGAGATGATACAAAGTCTTACAGCACCATCAAACATAGCAATTGAGCAAGAAACAAAGAAATATTCCCTGTATAATTATTCACATATTTCTGTCATGAATGCTCATAATAAAAGCTGGATATTATTATTATTCGATGAATTATTTTCAGCAAATAAATTGCCAAATGTAATATTGGTCATTCCATCAGACTCTTAAATTCAACAGTCATTAACAGTTTGGACCCGGGTGACAATGCGCCTGGGTCGAGCTGACTTCTATCTACCCAATGCTGAACTTTGACTGGCCCGTTCTAATTTTTCAAAATGTTTACGTGCATTGCGAATATTAATTAACGTTGCTGCCGATGCTTAAACAGAAAATTATTTGAAATTAATTAATCATTTAAAACAATAATAAATGTTATAATCAAAGTGATAAAAATACTTACGAATAGCTGGATCTGACATGATAACCGTCACATATGTGTTTGATGTGAATACATCTATGAAAGCAGCAAAATTACTATTTCTTACCTCCATACTTTGAAACTGTGCCGCTAACTTACTGCAACAAAAATTATAATTATTATTTATTACAAGTATAATAAATTTGATTAAATATTACATTTGTTTTACCTGCAACTTAATTTAAACTGTTTTATGATATTCGAAACTTTTTCAAAACGATGTACATCTCTGTGAAGTTGTCTTTCGCAATGGCTAATTAAAAGAAATGTTGCTCTTTCAAATAATAGTACTTCATCCGCATCAATTATTTTTGCAAATTGATTTAGGCTTTGTTCCAATTCTTCTACATTAGGTATCAACATGTATACGATAGAAGACCACGCTCTGTAATTAGATAAAAGCGTAGCATACTAAATGATAAAAGACATATTCTGATAAGTATTAAGCAACATAAAAATGTACTTCAATCTAAGTTAATACCTATATAAAGTTTCATCCCATATACTAGTTCTAAAACAAGTACATCCAAGTGGTAAACTCAGTCTTTTGAGATCTTCCTCTCTCTCTCGTAGTATCAAATCACGCTGATCCTCTTGTACCAAATCCATTTTATGAACAAGACAAAAAATCTTTGCATCGGGGCTATTTTGCAATATTGCTTCTAAACAGTTTTGATAATAATGCATATCTTTGTCTAATTCTCTTGATTCCACATCGAAAACGTAAATTAACACCTCTACATTTCGGAATATATTATCACGTTGAGATGCAAAATAATTTTCCATGAAAGCTTCTTGACCTCCACAATCCCAAAGATTTAATACCAAATTTCCAAGGAAACGAACATGACTATGCTCTACGTCAACTATTATGAATATAACCAAATTAATAACACAAATATAAATGATAAGAAATCATAACAAAATATTAAAAATGCTTACTTGTTGCACCTAATCGACGAGTATCACGTGCTATATAATTAGCAAATATAATACTACGCATACTCGTCTTTCCTGAGCCACTTTTGCCCATCAACAAAACCTAAAGAATATACATATACAAAAAGAAGGCAATAAATAATATTTTTTATTATTAACTATTACTAGTACTTTACAATATATAAAATCGTAGTACCTTTTTCTTCATCTTGACTTTTTGGATCAAATTCCTTCAAGTAACACTATTTATAATAAATAACTTATTTAGGATGAAATTCTATTTACTAGTCAATTAAATCTAAAATGATTAACTCACTAAATAATGTCCATTCTAAAACAAACATATGCAAAATCTCACATTTGAGGTTATGTAAATGTATTTGAAAAATATTCTATAAATTGTAGGATTGATACGCCCTCCTCAACATACGCAGTAAAATCCACTAACAATAATATTCCTTTTATAAGATAATGAATCACAATACGTAGCAAATTCGATATTACTATACACAAATACAAACACAAAAATTACTTCTATCAAATATTACACATAGTACTCTGAGTAAGGCGTTAGCATTACCTAAACGGAAATAACTTTTGTACATTCATCATAAATAAAAAACAAAGATAAGAGAAACTTATTGTTGTCTCGTATTGATCATTACTAAATCTGTGATATTTTCAATCTAATTTACGTTATATTTAAACTATGATTAAGATATATATTAACGTTTAATAAAGTCTCTTCTTTATTAAACTTCAAGTGTGGTTAACTATATTGCTGATACGATACATAAGAAATTTAAAAAAAATTCTTTTTAAACGTGTGTAATAAATCTGAATTATATTAAATTAAGTAAAATCAAGTTTTTAATTCACCACTTTCTGCACCGTACAAAGTTTATTTTACATATCTTTCCTTAGCCAATCAGTACATACCTCGTTTGACCTGGAATTTGCTGATTGATCAATTGGTATTATCCACTGACCAATAAACGATCCCCTTAAAGTAGTCTATTTAAAAACCGCGTTTTTTGTATTCATAATTTTATAATTTAATTATAAATATATAAGTAGAGAAAGTTTGTCATAATAAGAATCATAATATAAATTGGATTGATTAGATAAATCAATATCAATAAATATTCATATCTAATATCAATGAAACCAAGTATGTACACGTTTAGTTAACACATTATTGTTATTCTAAAATGGTGGCAACTTCGTATGAATGTTCAATCATAATGTCAAATAAATGTTATTTACAAACACCATAAAAAATGATTATACTTAAATTAAATAATAAAGATCGAATTTATACGTATATGAGACAATGCTCATATATGGGGTTGAAAAGTGTAAGAAGCAAGAGAAATATGTGTTGTATAATAATCTATACATACATACTCTAAACACATAGTGATAATAACCATGATGATTAGAAAAGAGGCACTAGCGGTGAAGATGGAGAGTAGGGAAAAAGGAAAGAGAGAGTAGAGAGAGTGAAAATGAAAGAGGATAGAAAAAGAGGTAGAAGGTAGAGAAAAGAGACAGGAGAGAATAGGAAAGAGGTAAAGAAGAAATATATTCAGGATATTATTCCAGTGTGGCGGCGCTTGTGCAGTTTAGAGAGCCGCTACGGCGGTGATTCGAGCTTCTTATCGGCCTCGAGAAGAGCCGTAAGGAAATAAGAGAACTAAATAGAGGATATATATATATATATATATGTACCGATGGTCGTCTTTGGGCAGCACGATTATGAGCGCGAAATAAAGTAGCATCAATAAGGAGTGAAACGCCGCATGGTTCCACCTCCGCCGTATCCAAGCGTGGCATATCACAGACGTGTGTTGAAGCGGCGCCATATATACGATATATACTACTCATATTCATTCCTTAGCGAGTGCGGCCAAGTGCGGCCAAGTGCAGCAACGGTGACGGCGACGGTAACGGTGACGGTGACGGTGACGGTGACGGTGGTGGTAGTGGTGGTGCCAGCAGATAGAAAAGGAAAAGAGAGTGGAACCACAATTGCTCCTTTCTATCCTGGATGGGGGCGAGAAAAATAGCCGCGACGCGACTCTGAGAAAGAAGAGAATAGTTAGAAGAAAGCAAGAAGTATATAGAGGAAAGGAGAAGAAAGATTGGTGAATGCGGCGGGGTACTTTGCCTGCACCCGTGCGTGAATCACGCTTCCGAGGCGCCCGGCTGTCCCCCGTCTTCGAGTATACCCCATCGTCGCGACATTGACCTGTTCGAGGACGCTGTCCGTTCTTTAACGATACCAACATTCTACACGGAGATTTTTTTCTCCCTTCTTTCCCATTTTGGAGTAACCTTTTAAGAGTGACACCCACAAGGTGGGAGGGGAAGAGGCATCTTTCTATTCGTTCCGATCCATGTCTTCTACCGGTTTATCTAATATCTTCCCTATTCTCGACTACGATACGTAATATACTCGTATGAATATTCATTTGAAAAGTTCGTCACTTAATTCAGGATAAGATCATTTTTGTAATATGATAGTAGTGTTCAATGAGTCTTAGTACCAGTGTTATTGCCACCAAGATTTCTAGTATACTGTGATTAAAAGAAGGTCTATCATTTCTAAAACTTTAGGAAGTAAGATTGTTGATTGAACTTTAACAAGCATAGCTGTGAATTATTTCTATTTCTAAATAAAATATTAGAAACGCAGCCACGAAAAATAGACTGGCAACTAAGAGAAAGAAGCAGGTGCAATATGTCAGACGAAGAAGATAAACCTCCTGCACCTCCTGTACGGCTGACATCTAATAGGTACATGTGCTTGTCATTTTTGTACATACCTTTCATTGCCAAATACCATATTACTTTGTATTATATGATCTGTTTTATTGGATATTGATTAGCTACTGCTACGCTTAATAAAGAGGAATTTAATAATTATAATAAATTATAAATGTATATATGGGTATATATGGGTTTTGACATTGAAATATTAATATTTTATAACACGCATACATAATATATGGTATTATCTTACATACTTTACCGGATTCTTAATTATATGTTAATATGCACATGAACAAAGAAATAATAAAAAGTAATACTGTTGCGCATTGGTAAGTTGATTATCAATCATTGCTGCAATTATAATCAGCAATTTTATGACAGTTAACAATATTTTTTTGTTTTCCATATAATATACACAAGTCTGAGTCCTCCAAAAATAGAAGAACTCTACCACTAATTTTGTACTCGCTAAAAATAAAATCTCTCAGTTCAGATACGATGACATTCTAATGTAGGGGGCCAGGTTTTAAGATCTGTGTATGTTATTTGAGCAATACATTTATCAAATTTAAAAATGTATACACATTGGTACTTTCAATATGTAAACAATTTTTTTTTTCAGTTTGAGAATATCTGTTACATTTATACGAGTAATGATTCAAATTATTGATTCTTAATTCTACTTAATCTATTATGTATCATTTAATAAAATAGCACATATATTATAAATTATTTTTATAAAGAATTATTGATGATCATTTATCAAATTAAATAAAAATCTATTAAAACTAAATAATGAATATGTTGTAGAGGTGAATCTGCACCAAATTTGCCAGTGGATATGCGCCCACTACCAAAAGAACCAGATTCAGATGAACGTAAGAAAAAAACATTGAAAGGCAAAATGAAGACAAAAGAAAATAAAGATAAACCAAATATAAGTTATCCAACGAATTTTGAACATACGGTGCATGTTGGATTTGATGCTGTCACTGGTGAATTTACGGTATGTTTCATTATTTATACTTATTTTTTAACGTCGTTTAAAATGCACTCGCTTTCTGCTTTGCTGTTGTACCATGATACGGAACATTCAAATAATATAATATGCAATATAATTAAATGTTAAGTGATATAAAATTGAAAATACTCATGGATCTTCCGTATCTACAAAAATAAAGTTTCAAACATTTTTTCACATACGTATGGACATTGTGGAACGGTAATTTGGTAATTTGTCTCAGCTTCTTATACATATTATTTTCTCACATGGAAAACTAACTAGACACTATTTCTTTCAAGCTGCCATTAAAAGTAAGTAAATTAAAATGACCACAGACTTACTTTGCCTGTATTTTATCTTGTACATACATCTTGTTTAAGAGTTTGTTTTCGTTGCTGTTAAGAAAAGATTTAATTCTTTTGTTGGAGTCAAACTGTAGGATATATCATAGGTTTCATAAGCATAAATGCTTCTGTAGATTGATATAGCTTTAGGCAACGTGGCATTTAACATTATTGCTTTCCTGCAGAATGAATCATGGTGATTGTTAACTTGTAATATAAATTTATTAGGTATATTAAACGAATCATAAAAACCTTACATTTGCATGTTTTACCCTAAATTATATATTCTTAATAATTTATCTATTCCTCCTGTTTTTTTTTCATATTCTGTAGTAAGTAGGATTAATCTAGCCAGCATTGCCTACCTGTTATATTTGACTTCCCCTTATTGTAATATAACTATGACTTCTATCATTTTAAAATATAATATTATCATTCACAGGGAATGCCAGAGGCTTGGGCAAGACTTCTTATGTCAAGTAACATTAGTAAACAAGAGCAAAAGAAAAACCCACAAGCTGTCTTGGATGTTTTAAACTGGTATGATAGTAGCAGTAAAGAAACAAAAGGTTCTAAATACATGACTACAACTAAGATGGTTGGAGTTATAGGTAAGTTCAATATCAATTTATTTTTTTTTCCCCCTTTTTTTCTTTTTATAAAGAAAAAACTTTTGTACTTGTTATATTAATAATACAGATATCATTCAAACTGCACACCCAGCTCCAATAGAAAGAGCAAGTAGTCCGCGAAGTATGGGTGTTACTGTTGGTACAGGTGTAGGAAATATTCGTGGACAGGCAATGTCTCAGGCTTCAGGAAGCTCTCACTCTCAGCATTCATTGAGCAGGTGAGCCTTTTACAATTTTTATATTATGAAAAAACTATTAATTAAATATTAGCTGAGAAACAATAACATTGCAGAGTAAGTAGCAGTAGTCCCAGTAGTACACCAACTGATGCTTGTGCAACTAGTTCTGAACAAGAAGATGAACCACCACCTCCACCTATTTCTGCGAGACCAGAACGTACAAAGTCAATAGTAAGTTTTCTAATGTGTAAAATGATGAAAATATGAGGTAATTATAAAATGATTTTATATAATTTAAAATTTAAATATTCAGTATACAAAGCCTATAGAAGAAGAACCACCCCCACCATTGGCAATTACATTGGGATCACCTCAAAGAAATGGAACACCACAACAACAACATCAATCGCAATTAGATAGAAATAAAAATCAAGCAACACCTACATCAACTACGACTGATCAAACGCGACCAGCACAAAGTGATAAAGCAAGAAAAAAGAAAATGTCGGATGATGAAATACTAGAAAAGCTTAGGACAATTGTAAGTGTAGGAGATCCAAATAGAAAGTATACAAAAATGGAAAAAATAGGACAAGGGTAAGTTTTAAATATAAATTTAAATTTCATTATGTTTTATCTGGAGTATAATATCTGCGAATAAAAAAATAATAAAACAAACATTTGTTTGCTATTAGTGCTTCAGGTACAGTGTATACAGCGATTGAAACATCAACAGGAATGGAGGTTGCAATAAAACAAATGAATCTTTCACAACAGCCGAAAAAAGAATTGATAATAAACGAAATTTTAGTTATGCGGGAGAATAAACATCCGAATGTTGTAAATTATTTGGACAGTTATTTAGTGGGAGAAGAACTATGGGTAGTGATGGAATATTTACCTGGTGGTAGTTTAACTGACGTCGTGACTGAAACTTGTATGGATGAGGGCCAAATAGCTGCAGTATGCAGAGAAGTATTACAAGCATTGGAGTTCCTTCATTGTAATCAAGTTATACATAGGGATATTAAGTCTGACAACATCCTACTTGGACTGGATGGGGGTGTAAAGTTAACTGATTTTGGATTTTGTGCACAAATTTCTCCAGAACAAAGTAAAAGAACTACAATGGTTGGAACTCCATATTGGATGGCACCTGAAGTAGTTACAAGAAAGCAATATGGTCCAAAGGTATAAATAGATACGAACTATTATATAATACTCTCGATGAATATTAATTATTAAAATATTAAATGAAAATAATTTAACAAAACAGGTAGATATATGGTCATTGGGAATAATGGCTATTGAAATGATAGAAGGAGAACCACCATATTTGAATGAAAATCCACTGAGAGCATTATATTTAATTGCAACTAATGGAAAACCAGAAATTAAAGAGAAGGATAAATTATCTGGTATCTTTCAAGATTTCTTAGACCAATGTTTAGAAGTTGAAGTTGAAAAACGATCTGCAGCTTCAGAGTTATTAAAGGTAACGCACTTAATTTGATGAAAGATAGTTTACTGTTATATTTAATAATGTTATTATCGTACCATTGGACATATTTTACATTCCTTTACAGCATCCTTTTTTGAAGTTAGCAAGGCCACTAGCCTCCTTAACACCTTTAATTATGGCAGCAAAAGAGGCTGCTAAAGGTCATTAAATGAGTAGTGAAAGACTATGGTCGAAAGTGATCATAAATATGACTATGTGAAAGAATAACGAACCACCCTCCCAAAACGGAAACGGCACAATAATTCAATAATATATATGTAATAAATAAACATATATAAATATATACATATATATATAAATATATACATATATATATAAATATATACATATATATATAAATATATATTAATTATATATATATATATATATAGGTCATAAATAGATAGAACTTATCCGATACGCGAAGAATATCGAGAAATGGTTTCAAAGTTTTTAAATTGCTCGAGTCTCGCATGTTGTGAGGAGAAAAAGTTAAATCAGAAAAACTGTGAACGATCTGACGGCAGAGACCTTATTTACCTCGGTGATGTGTATTGATTACTAAAAATTTCTAGTGTCAAAAATTAAACAGATATTGAAAAATGAACGAACATAAATTGACGTCAAATATTGCCTGAAAAAACTTTTTTATCAACATTCATCATCAAGGATAGATAAGTGTTTGTCAGTTATTTTCTAAAAATGTAAAAATAGTATTATTGACTCTAAAGTTGAAGATCAGAGTTAGCTACAAACACACATTATTTATAGCAAGGATCTTTATTAGATAATACCATAAACAAATGTGAACAAGTACATAAGATTTATTCTAATACATTATTATGGTTTGACAAAAAAGAAATTGTAGGAGAAAAATAAATTGGTCTTCATGTCAGACTTATATTTTTCGAACGAAGTTATAAAGAGCAGAGCAATATGTTTTCAATCCTTTTGTCTGTCAATATGACATAAATACATATATATATATAAGCGATAGCCTAACTTGTTTTAAACATTCTCAAAAGTCACGTTCTTATAATCATATCTTAATACGCAGAATTATATTTTTATTCAACTAAAAATGCTTTAATTATTTTCTCTTATCTTGGATATCACAATGGTCGCATTTTGTTAGTTTATATATATATATATATATAGTATGGCTAATTGAGTTATTTGTGTTTTGTGCAGTTAGAATATTCATTTTTGCAAATCATGATTACTGTTTTATAATATTAAGATAAACAAAAGTAAGTACTTTTTCTCATTTGCATCGCGATAAGACACGTTAAGATATATAAGGTCCTCTCTTTACTAAAATATGTTAGTTAATAAGAACATCCTTATATGGACAAATGTTGTCTGGTCAAGTGTGTTCTTCATTACAGGTCAAATCTAACTATTCTTAACGTGTCTTAAAGTAAATGAACGGATGATCGATGAAATTTTAAAACAAGGTTCAAATGTAGGAGCATTTTGTGACACTATAAAGTGCCTGTTGTCATGTTTAGAAGCATGAGTTATTCATGCTAGATTCCTTATAATCTTGAACCATTAAAATGTATCATTTATTTTGACGAACCATCAGAAACCAACATGTAAAATCAAGTTAACGGTTATATACAAGGTTTCTAAATGGTTGTACCATATTAAACAGAGCAACTAAAATGTCTTTCCTAATTGTATTATATTTTCAAAGTATCATGTCATTACAATTAAAATTATCTATATATTTAGTTTAAGAAACTTAGATTTTGCAATTTCTGTAATTTTTAATAATTTCATTATATATATATAGGGTTTCGTCATATGCGATTTTTGACACTTAAAATAACATCATGAGAGTAAAATAATTATTGATACAAGAGAAATCACTGATATATTACATATGAAATGAAAAGATTAAACAAAAAGGTAAAAATTTATATTATTTCCTTAAAATGAAAAAAAAACGTAAGGTATTTAATATTCAGCAGTTTTATTCTTCCATAAAACTATTAATAAAAAGCCTGATTAGTTTTTTAATAACGATTAGTAAAGTTTAATTAAAAATTGACAGACAAAATTACTCGATTTATATCGTGTTAACGAACATATTTAGAGTCATGCTAAAATTGGGAAAGATCCTATTTTTTTAAAATCAAGGACTATAAATAATATAATGTATTATTTTTGTGTGTCAGTATTTCATGAAAATAAGCATCGCATATATTCATTCTTTTTCAGTAATCGCTCTAAATTAATTGAAAGTAAGTGATGTTAAGCAACATAAAAAAAGGAAATGACTGCACATCTAGTATTAATCATCATGTAAACGAATTTATAAATTAGGATCCAAATAAATTAGCTCGATCAGGAATAACGAGCGAGGTCTTGCATTTTCACAAATATCTTTTAAAAAGGATCATATATACATCCATTTTGTCTGATCGTATTATTATTATGACAATTATAAAAGATACATATTTCTCTCAGTTCATAGCTATTTACTGTTAAGATTTAATTTTAAATGATAAATCGAGATGCATTGAATATATAAAATATACTTTACCATGTCCAAATTTCAAAATACTAAGTGCATTTAGATGCACAATTGTTCGCAAATGATCATCTTGTTAGTGAATCTGTTTACATAAACAAAAGTACAAAGCTTGTACCAAAATATGCCTTACTGTAATAAAAATATATATGTATTCTATTAAAATAAAATAATTATTATTTTTTTGATGCGGCAAAAGATTAGATGAATAAACTAAATAGACTTTGAGAGTAGGGATTATAAAATGCATGGATAAGTATTATTTTCTATAATTGCATCTCGATTAACGTTCCATGTGCATTTAAGTATTTACGTAAGAAACGTATTATTGTCATTTTGTAAGTATAAAATAGGTTCCTACTAAAATCAGGTTAAGTGTGTATATGCATGCTTGCGTGCTTATGATGTTTTTGAAAATGCTTTGAGATCTCTAAATGAAAGAACCAGGCCTAGTAACAAAGATACTATTTTACTGACAAAAAAAATAAGAAAAAAAATATTGGTCAAAGTACATGGTTTCCAGTCTTTTATCAAAACTATTTGATTTTAAAAAAACAACAGCTAATATATATATATTTGCTTTTAAAAGGTTTTTAGTAATGAATGATTTCTCAGGAAAATATATATCTATATAAACGATAAAGAAATCCAGAAATTGAATTGAAACGGCAGATAAATAATTATTGTAAAGAAAAAAGAAAAAAAATAACGCCTAGAATTTTACGTATATATTGTACTGTAACACCTTTTAGTTTGTTTTAAAATGTTACAATATAAGGAAACATTTTGTAACAAACAAGTATTATTTTATTACAATTTTCCCTTAATATACCCTTCCTTTTAAGATTATTTATCTCTATAGAAGAACGAAGGTTACAAATAATAGCTCGTTTGATTCTTCCAATGATGTTTTATATTGTTAGGAATATATAGTTAACTATTTACATATTGCAGCTTTTATACACATTTGTAAAAATAGTATAGACTCTTAGAAAATAATATTTTTATCACTTTTTTTTGTATTAATTGTATGATAATTATATACATAAATAATATATGTTGCACAATTCAGATCTGATTATAAAAAGACATATAATATCATGTTAGTTGAGTTAGAAATGATTACATCAAGTGCAGTTGTATATGTATAGGGATATTATATCTTATATTTTATAAGTAAATTTTTACTTAACTTGATACAATACCATCAGCATGAAAGCACGCTTTATAATTGTATATCATAGCAAATGCTTGTGAAAGTTTAATTGACCATATTTATTAATAATATGAATATGCTAATTTGCAAATATTAATAACGTATTATATATTTTACGTTACAATTAAAAATCTTGCTTAGAAACAAGAAAGCACAATCGATGTAAAGAAATTCTTAATGAAATCAACTGTGTTTAAAAGTTGAAGCCAACAAAAGAATTTTAAATGTCTAAAAAAATTGAATGTCGAAAGAAAACTTTTCATTTAAAAAAATTTACTTCTTTTCTTCCCCTGCTGCATGAAAAAGTATCGAAGCGGAGTTGATGCAGAAACGCTTCCTTGTAGGTTTTGGACCGTCGTTGAATACATGTCCCAGGTGTGAACCGCACTTTGAGCAGGTCACTTCAGTCCGCACCATATCTGGGTTTGCGATCAGCAGTAGTAGATTGCCACCAACTACACGTCGTGTGGTGACGGGATTTTCGTGTTTCAATGGTGAGAGTGAAGTGGTGGTAGCGGAGCAGTAGGAAGACAAAGGAAAGACAATAATAGAGTGTGATTAAACGCAGACCCACACCTTTCTGAGTACACTTTCTATGCCTCCCAGCAATAGTAGTGGCGAAGAAGTAGACTTACAGTTAGACTAATAAATATTTGTTACTTTACATATTTTTACCTAAAATTACCTTGCATATAACTATCCTTGAACTTCTTCTGTATTAATCATAGTAACATTCACATAGATTATAATATTGATTGAGCGAATGTGCCATTTACTTAAAACAATATTGATTTAAATTAAGTCTTAATTTTATTAAATTCGAAGTGAGTAAAAGTATTACACATATAATTTCTGTTTCTTTCGATTTTTGTGGATGCCTGATCTTTAATATAGTCAATATTAATAAAAAGTTACACAAATAACAATTGAGTTTGTTAGAGATGACTCTATATATTCTATTTAAAACACAATGATATGTAATGTTTCTTCTTCTTTTTATATAATTTTTTTATATTGGCATATAAAAAATAATTATCATCTACACCACATATATTACTGCGACGGCTGTATTAGAAATATAAATATATAATTATTTAATTTTGATATTACTAAGGCCACAGTAAAATTATATTATAAGAAGCCACAATTACAAGTTATGTGCTATTTATTTGCAAATATTATAAGAGATGCTATAACTACTATTTTTGTAAATTAATTAGACGAAAAGATTTGTTTGCAATTTATGTGTGTCTAACATTTCAGTATAATAATAAAAAATTGATGTAAGTCTAACACAATCACACTCTAAGCTGGACATGCAGGATATAAGGTATTAGGAATTCTGCCTTCCTTAGAACTTTATAGAAAAAATATATATCTACAACATTTTACCCATGTATAAATAAAGCCAGATCATATAATATACTAAACATATATTATATATCGTGTAATTAATAAATTTCAATTATTTGAGAAATATACATGCAGAAAATAAATTAATAACTAAGCCAGTAGAAAATATTTTTACCAAAATATTACATCCTACTGGTGTATGTATATATTATATATATTATTGAAAATGATAAAAAGATAGAGATTAGAATAGAACTACAAAGAAGGCAATGAAATATAAAAGAAACGGTTAGGAAGGTTTAATGATGGATTAAGACTGTAATGTGTGAAGAGAGCGAAGACACCATAATAAGCAGGTAATGCTAAAATCTAATCGTAGATAGACTCAAGCTTTAATTTCCCATTAATAATCATTTATATTTTCCATTCGATAATATCAGTTTACCTGCATATCGTTAGATATCCTCGTATGATGTAAGAATAAAATGAATAAGGAATACTACGTCATTATATCAAATATATGTATATATGAGCATAATAGTTTGAGCATTAAATGTAAATAAAAGTGAAAAAGACTGTGCTTACCATGAGAGGTATCTTTGGTTAACTTAATCCGTCCTTGATCTAAAACTTCATTAAATGCAGGCCAACCGCATCCACTGTCATATTTAGTGTCAGAAGAGAATAATTCTTGATCACAGACGATACACGTGTATGTACCATTTTGATAAAATTTATTGTAGCAACCAGTGTATGGCCTGAGTAACATAAAAATAATTATAATACACTATCATCCGGTCTTACATTAAATAAAAAGAGGTTAATTACAACATCCGAAATGTTATTTTTGAACTACTTGGCCATGACGTAAAAAGCCAGCGATCGCTCTTGAAAAAGTTATTTTTATCTGCGTCTACAACTAAAGTGGCCTTCAACGTGATTTCATATTTAGTGTAGAAAAAATGTATAAGTACAAATCTTAAAATTATACATGACGAGTATCGTACATAAATGATAAACATTTTCAATTTGAGGATAAAAATGAAGTAAATACCGTTCTGTAAAAGATTGATGAAACCTCTGACATAATTAGCTGATATAAACGACAATTTTGACATCGGTATTGCGACACCGTGAAACCAAGAGAAAAGGATGATATAAAGCGTATAGCAGTGATAGCGTTTCAGACATTAACATATTATTTTAAGATGATAAAGTATAAATCGCGTCAAACATATCGATGATAAATATACAACAAAGATAGTTCTTAATTAATAACAAAATTTGTATAAATTGGAAAAAGAACCAGCATGGGTTAACCAAAAAGATATAAGATGTAGGGGAAAAAAAAAGAAAAGAATTGTTGCATTGTCTACCTCTCGGTTCCTTTTTCTTGTGTCACGTGCCACTGTAACGGCGTCAAACGTTTTTTCAGCTCATCTTTATCAATTTCCGTCGTCATCCTTCTAATTGAAAAACGAACGCTCCTTATTACGTCGAAAGGTAATCGAAAACGCGCCAGTTTAACGTTTTATAATGCGTCAAAATGATAGACTTGTATAAGTATTGAATGTACGACCGGCGCGCGCTTGACGCGTATTAAACGTACGACTGCCGCATCCTCCTAGTTCGCGGGTAAACGTCGACTTTCGAACTGGCATCGTGCGTGCGCATTTCAATTATTTGACACTCGTAGCCCGTCATTCGTCGATCATTTCCCCCACCCCCACTCCTCATAATGTGGCGCTTCGATCTCCAAATCGAAATCGAACGCGCCTTTTCTAGAAAACGATACCATCATCCTTTCCTACTTCGTTTAAAACTACTATTTATAGAATTACGAAAGAATATCGTATTTACCCTACTAATTCTTTTTCAACGTACTAATACAATCACTCTTTTCAGCTATATTATTTTTATAATATTATTACTTTATTTTTACCTGCTTTATCGATTCATATTCAAATTTTCTTTAAAGCAATATATTTTTTTAAATTAAAAAAATCTATGTATATTAATAATATGGAATGAAATTTTATTATTTACTTTTTTAAATATATATATATCTTGAGCTACAATCTGATCTTTTTCAAAGATTTCTTCAAAGGTTCCCTCACAGCAGGAATTATAATTCCTATAATATATACCAATAAACGATTATTGGCTGACAGTATAAGAAAGTACAAATAATTTTGTAACAAACTGTGCTTTAATCTGTTGTCAATACATTTACAATATACATTTACAATATATTTGTATATATTTATAAGTTTTGATAAACCGCTCTACGACGGTACACGATTCTCAAATACAGGATTGATAGATAATATATATATCGTATATATACACATATATACGACAGCAGTATGATACATACCTTCTCTCTGGTGCATAGCTATACACATAATATAGATAATGTTTTTCTCGTATTTTATAATTTATATTCGCTCGTAATGATCATGTTCCAACGTATATACTATCATTATCTTTCATCATTTCGGTTTATATTTTAGATTTTGAAAACTTACATACACCGAGTACATTATCTATAATAGATATGTATTTTATGTACAATGAAACGGGTTCTAACTTATATATATATATATATATAAGTTATATATATATATATACTATATAACATACACTTGCAATAGTGCACTCAGTACTATACATAACTTTTTTTAAATCAGAACTTCGGTACATTGATAAATCTAACGATTAGACTTAGTCAATAAAACAAAAAATAGGAAAGGAAACTAATTAACAATGAATGGTAAAGTCGACAACAGTTCCTCTTCTTCTATATATTTGAATATTGCATAAAATATGTCCCGACATATCAAAGAAAAAAAACGAACAATGCGCATTACTTCGAGGAACTTTTGATAAAAGTTAACTTGAATATTAGCTACACTTCATTTTTTTTGTAATTATTTTTTAAAAAACTATCAAAAATCCCTAATATTAAAGTGGGCTTATTTTTATATACATGCATATATACTACGTTAGTGAATAGAAAACAAATGTTTATACTGACAATTTGTAAAAATGCTAAACGAATAAGTATTATTAAAAGAAACAAGAGAATAAAGAAAAACGAGAGAATGTGACATAAAAAAAAGAGTTTCGGTGGAAATATTGCTATGTTAATAGTAACATACATAGCAATAATAGCCACTTTTCCTTTAATTGAATCAAAATAATAAAAGCATAAAAATAAATGTAATTATAATCATATTATTATATTTGTCATTCGTTATAATCATTACTATAATTTTCTATTACTTTTATATTAAATATTAATGAACTTCGATTTTAATGAAAAGCATTGTCTTTAAATTAAAAATATATATATAAAGCAATATGTCCACCGAAATAGTATGTAATATGTAAAATATACTTTATATCAATTGTAATGGCTAAAGCCAGGACGGTCTATGATGATGATGTGGTGGTTGTAGAGCATAAAAGGAATGAAGATATTGTTGATAGGCAGGATCCACTGTTAGATTTGGACCATGAGGTGGAACGTAAGCAGATACGTGGGGTCCATAAGCAGCTGATCTTTGTGCAGAATGAAGAAATGGATGAGGTGCATAATTTCTTGGAGTTTGATTACTAAGTTTGTTACAAGATGATTGCACAGTATCTGTTACTGGTACAACTTGCTGTTGCTGCTGTTGTTGTTGCTGTTGTTGTCTAAGCGCCATACTGTAATAAGGATTCGTGTTACGAAATTCATCTAAAAACGCAAATGCTGCTGCTGCAGCAGATGCTTCTTTATCGTAAAAGGGTGAACTGCTTGTGGCGGTACTGGTTGGTGCAGCAAAATTAAAGGCACTCCCACTTGGCGGTATTACCGAAGTATTTTTTAAACCAATGTCTCCAGGAGTGCCCGAATATTGAGAAAAATTCGGTATACTGCTGCTCGTTTGTTGATCTGTACTAACTGTAGACGATAAGGCAGTGACATTTTGTTGTTCTTGTTGTTGCTGTTTACTCTTTTTACTTTTTTTCGCCCTAGTCGTAACCGGTGCAGGGGGTGCTGCTGGTGTTTCTCCCATTCTTCTCGGCATTGACAATATTCCTGATGAATTTTTAGCTGCTGCATTTTGTATACTTTGTAAGAGATTCAAATCCAATTCAGCAGTTCCTGATACAGGACTACGTGCATAAGTCAAATGTTCTGGTTTTGCAGGTGGTGGTCTAGGAATTGTTAATAATTGTTGTTCTTTATTAGTACGACTTACTAAACCTAAACCTAATCGTGCATATGCAGGACTGGTGGCAACTGAATCTGCTAAAGTTCCAACAAATACACTCTCAAATTGACTAGCTGAAACTGCTTCTGGTTGTGAAAGTGCTATCATTGAATCATAAATAAATTGTTCTTGTCCAGGTCGTATAGTAGATTCTTGTGTATTAGTGATTCTTGATTCATTTGGCGATTCATTATATACACGCTTTTTTACAGGAGGAAGATTGCCACTTGTTGTGCTTGAAGTTCCACCACTAGCAGCTTTCGAGCCAGTATCAAAGTAATGTGGACTGTGATATACTGGTCTAGAATTTGTTACAGGATATCCCGAAAGTTGAAATCCACTTTGATAAAGAGACTCATGTGCAGTTAAATTTTGTTGAAATGTTAAAATCTGTGATTGATCTTGTGCTTGAATTTGATCTCCAGTACTTGCGTTTTTGTTAAGGAACGTTCTTTGTTGAGTATATTTTTGAACATTTACAGAATCACTAAGATCAGTAAAATTTGGTCGTTCTTGCAATGTTTGCTGCGATTGCTGTTGCGATTGTTGTTGTTGTTGTTGTTGTTGCTGCTGCTGCTGTTGTTGTGATGGTGGTGGTTCTTGATTGCCATGTCTGCTACTCGATCTTTGCATATCACTATTAGAAAAATTATTTGGATATGCTGTAGGAAATTGATTTGAAGGTTGATAAATTTGATGGTTCGCATTTAAATTCATCGACGAATCTGGCTGAACGATAAAATTACGTTGTTCCTCAGGCGAAGTTTTATCACTACTATTAGACTTCAAAAATTCTTGTCTCCTTTCCGATTCATTCACTGACAATGTAGGAGATTGTAAATATGAATGAGTTTGTTTAAAGTTTTGAGAATAACTTGAAGATACTATCGTATTTGACGTATAGTCCTCAGGAGCTTTTGGTTGAGATTGCGTATAATTCGTAGCTTGTGGAGGTGATTGCAAGTATGTAGTAGATTGTTGTTGAGAGGTACATACAGATTTCTGTTGAGGAGAAGGTTGAGAATAAACATGTGATGGCTGAGGAGATGGTTGAGGATAACTTACTCCTGCTGCTTGTTGTTGTGGAGACAACTGTGAATAGTTAGGTGGCGTTTGGGGTGAATGTAATGGATGAGAATAAGTAGGTGGTGGTTGTTGTTGAGGAGATGGCTGAGAATAGTTAGGCGGTTTTTGAGGGGATGGTTGAGAATAATTAGGCGGTTGTTGAGGGGATGGTTGAGAATAAGTAGGCGGTGGTTGTTGAGGAGATGGTTGAGAATAATTAGGTGGTGGTTGTTGAGGAGATGGTTGGGAATAAGTAGGTGGTGGTTGTTGAGGAGATGGTTGAGAATAGGAATTGTTTTGTGGCGAAGGTTGCGAATAGGAAACTTGTGCTTGTGGAGAAGATTGAGAGTACGCAGGCGGCGTTTGTGGAGAGTGTTGCGAGAATGTTTGTATTTGCTGTGGAGATGATTGTGAAAAGTTTTGTGGCTTAGGAGATGTTTGTGAATATGTTGGGAGTGGTTGAGGTGATGGTTGCGAGAAATTATTTGAATGTGGTTGAGGTGATGGTTGCGAGAAATTATTTGAATGTGTTTGAGGCGAAGGCTGTGAAAAATGTGGAGATTGTGTAGGTTGCTGTGAATATACTGGTGGTGGTTGAGGAGAAGCTCGAGAATATACAGTCGATTGTTGTGGAGAAGATTGTGGAAATGGAGAATGTTGTTGAGGCGAAGATGGACGTGAATAATTTGAAGGTGCCTGAGGAGAAGGTTGAGAATACGGAGAATGTTGTTGCTGTGGTGAAGGATGTGAAAAGTTAGACGTTGCTTGAGGAGAGTTTTGAGAATAATTGATAGATGAACTTGGTTGGGGAGAAGGTTGAGAATATTTTGGCGTAGTTGATTGTTGAGGCGATGGTTGGGAATAATTAGATGGTGCTTGAGGTGAAGTCTGTGAAAAAACTGGATGTAATGGTTGTGGAGAGTGTTGAGAATACCCGGCGGATTGAGTTTGGTTAGTAGACGATATTTGTTGCGGGTACGGTTCACTTTGTGATGAACCTTGTGGAAAATTATTTTGGGCAGAAAATGTAGGAGATAGCTGACGATAAGCTTCGTTAGAATTTTCTTGGGATGATGTTTTTGGATATACTTGAGGAGTTTGGGATGGTATTTGAGGATATATTGGAGTTTGTTCATATGACGCAGGAGATGGATATGCTGGAGACAATGGATGATTTTGAGGTGATGGAGTAGGAGGTAACTGGGCACTATACCTCGGCGGTGTAGCATAATAGGGGCTATTATAAGGACTACTACCAGTTGATAAAGCATCCTGATAAAATCCAGCACCTCGTATTTGAGTTTCAGTTGTAGTCACTACAGGTTGATTTTGCGGTGATCGACCAGAACAACGACCGGGTGGAGATTCTTGTGAGAAACTAGAAAGTGATTCACTTAAACTGCTACCACCTGTGCTCATGCGTCTTGGTCTATTGCAGATCGTTTCTTGTACTTCTCCATCTTTCTTTGGCACGCCTTCTTCTACCTCTTCGTCTTTCTTTTTTGATTTTGGTGCCCCAAAAGCTTTGAACCAAGCACTTAAATTTGGCGTTGTGGATTTTTGTTTTTGAACTTCCTCTGTACAAACATTATTATCCTTGATTTCTTCCACTGTTGTCAATGGTAATATTGTCCCCTTATTAGCAGGTAATTTTTCTTCAACAGCATTCGATGTTGAATTTACTGATGCTGCAGTATGATCTTCCTCTTCATCGTCATTTGAAAAATTAGGATTTGGTGATGAAACTAAACCTTTACAGATTAACTGTATTGAATCAGCGTTTTTCAATACAGTTCCTAAACTAAGTTTTGGTTCCTCTTTAACATCTGTACTAGGTTTAACATTATCACTAGCAGATTGATGAGTAGGTATATCACTAACATTGGAAGAAGATAAATTTAATGGTTTCTTTAATAATAAATTTCCCTTGCTTTTACCAGGTTGTAAACGATCTATAGTACGTTGTATTTTTTTTGGTCTAGATGGGCCATGTGGTCCAAAAATTTTAATTGAACTTGGTCGTTTTCTTGGAGCTTCTAACTTTGGTCCTGATTTGTTCGATTCAATGGAAGAATGAAATACTGGTGAATCACTGCCAGAAGAAAATTCCGAAAGTCGAGGTGCATCATCAAGCCATTTATTGATATCCTATTATTAAAAAAAAAAAGTTATATATTACTTTGACAAAACATAATTAAGAAAAAACGTTTAATAATATATACTAAAAATAAGAAACATTTATAACTTACATTAAGCGTTTGCTCTGTTGCTTGATTTAAGGCTTGTATCGCTGAACTTTCTTCTTTACCAAATGCTTTGGTATGTCTAACTTGTGCATTTTTTGTTTTCTTACCATCATTTACTTCATGGTTGTGACTCTTATTTAGGTCTCCTATAACAATCGACTTTTCATCTTTTACCCCTTTTTTAGACTTCAATCGCTTTAAATTGACTTTATCTCCATCATGTAATGTACTACCGTTTGAAGGCACTTTTTTTGAGTATGCACTCTGAATATCTTTCTTTTTCTGCTTTTCCTTCTCGTGTTTTAATTTTTCTTCACGACGTCTTTCACTTACCTTATCTTTCAAACTATCAAGTGACTCCAAATCTTTATTATTTACTAACGCAGCAGGTTTCTTACAAGTATCAAATTGTTTTGACTTGTGTATATTTGTTTCTATTTCTACTTCTTTGGAATCTACAAGATCTGTTAATTCGCCATTGTTTACATTTTCTTCAGTCTTCTGTTTTGATTTTTTTTCCTTTTCTTTTTCTTTCGTTAAATTCTTCCCATCGAATTCCTCGTCCGATTTTAAATTCATTTTTGTTTCTTCTTTTTCCTTTTTACGATTTTTCTTTACCTTTACGTGTAGAGATTTTTCTGTATTATTATCTTGAGATTCTACTCGTTTTAATTTACATTTCTTTGTATTTTCTGCTATTAAAGTATTTTCAAGTTCTTTTTTCTCTATTTTTCTACTTCTACTTTTTGCAATAATAGAAGGTTCATAACTTTCTTCAAAATCTTCTTTTCGTTTTTTCCCTTCTTTTCCAGAACGGATTATCTCTACATCTTTTTTCTGTTGATGTTTATTTTTTTTATTTGCACGTTTAAGTTCTTCCGGTTCTTTGGGAGGCAGCTTTTTGGTTTTTAATAAAACATTGTTTGTATTTATGTGTTGTTTTTTCCCTTTTGATTTTACAACATTAGCATTTGATAATGATTTGTCAGCTTCTTCCTCCTGTGTATTTCGTTCTTCCTTTTTTATCTCTGTATCTTCTTCTTCCTCCTCTTCTTCCTCTTCTTGCTCTTCTTCCTCCACCTCTTCTTCCTCTTCTTCGACAATATCTTCTGGCTTTATTTTCTTGGATTTTCTTTTACCTCTTTTCTTTTTAGTAAATTTTAAATTTTTGCTTGGTTTTTCTTCTTCGTCTTCCACGCTAATTTTTGATTTTGCTCGAGTTTCAGATTTAACAGATTTCGATTTTTTGTTGGACCTTTTTAAGCCCTTTTTTACAGTATGCTGCATCGTAGAAGGAGAAGTAGTAGTTACGGGATAAGAAACAGACGAAGGAGACATAGATGCTGATCTTGTCGATGAAAGATCTTCATCACTCGATGCTTCAGATTCTAAATAACGGTTTACTGCCTTATCAAATGCTTCTTTTAAATTAATTGCCATTTCAGTATATTCTAAAATTCGGCACATAAAAAAAAGAGAAAAAATATAAATTAATATATTTTATTAATTATTTTTGAAATTATTTAAATTCTTAAAATCTAAATACTAACCATTATCAGAACCATTATATTGTCTGCAATTGTCTACAATAAGGCGAAAATCACGTTTGAATAAACTTAAACTTTTATAAGATCCACCTTCCAATTTCTCTTCCATTGTGCTAAGATCCATTGGTCTTCGTACCACGCTATAATATCTGTATCAATAAAATAAACTTTAATACGGATTTCTTGTCTCTTTTTATATATAAATATTTAATTATTCTAAATGATAAATGTGTGTATAATTTATATATTCCTGCTTACCTAGGAGCATACTCTTCATCCACAGGATCAATGAAAGGCCATGCGTCCACATGGTCTTTTAAGCTTTCAAGTACCTTATGCATACCTACACGACGTTCCTCCTCTTCGATTTTAAATGAATATCCATATTTATATCCATAATTAGAAGAAACATAATTATCACCATGACTACTAATGCCTTTCTTCTTTTCTAAATTTTCCACTTCATCTCTAGTGTGAATCACAATTTGGCCAACTGCAGATGCTAATGAATTATTAGTTTGTCTACCTTTCTTTTGTATAGGCGGCACACTTAACGGTGGAGAACTTTTATCTTTAACATAAACATTCTTAGTACTCTGAGAACTTCTCTTTGCTCCTTTGCTATTCTTTGTTTTAATCTTTGATCTGACCATGACTGTTTCCATTTGAGTCGCAGGCTCGTGACTTCGAAGAACCCTTGAGTTATTATGTTGTAGAAGTTTACGCCTTTGCTGTTTCTCTTTCAAATCAAAAAGTTTTGGTATTTCAGGCATAAAATCTTCTGATAGGGTACGATAAAGTTTACGCTCTGTATCGTATTCCTAGAAAATGTAATAAACAATTAACATTTTGATGGTCACAAATTTTTTTCGTCGACTATTATTTGTTCATCGGTGAAAAATATATAGTACTTACTGAATCACGAAATTTTTCAACCAAACGACTCCAATCTTGTTGAGTAAAGCAAACAACCTGCCATACACTTTCCCTTTCGTTATTTGTTTTATATATTAGATTATTTTCCTCCTTCTCCTCCTCTTCCTCTTCCTTTTTCGCCACTCTGTTCCGTCGTTTTTTACGTTTTTTCTCTCTTGATTTGTTGCTCTGTTTGAATGAGGTACTAACAGTAGTATCGATATAATCCTCCCTGTACAATCGAGTGCCGTAAAAGTACCAATAAGCAGAGTTCTTACGATCATGACCCAATGGTTCAACTCGCAGACTATCTGAGTCCAGATTACTTAAAGATTGCTCCTGTTAAAAAATTACATATGTTTAATACATTTCTAAATAATAATATATATACCTTATTTCATTAAAAAATAAATAGTATTATTCAAATAAAATTTCCTAGATAATGGTAAAGCCTAAATATAATATTTATGTATAAAATATTATTATATAAATGGATGAATACGTACTACGTCTTCCGCGTCTAGTCTGAAATCACAGAGGGCACGTAATATTTCTACTTTTTGACGAAGTGGCAATAATTCAAAGTCTACATCAGTATTAAATGGATTTTCACATTTATATTCCTACGAAAACATAAGAAAAAATATATTAAAACATTACTTGAAAAATAAAATAAAAAGCAAGGTATACAATATAAATGTATAAATAAATAATATTTCAATTAACAATATTGTGTCAAATAATCTAAGTTGATATTAATCGAAGCTTTAGAAGATAGTATCAAAATTATATTTACCTGACATTTTTTCCGGAACAGTCTACGAAGAAACATTTGATAATTAAAAGTAGATATGTCATTGCGAGTATCGTTAGGTAAACAGCCTTCTAATAATTTTACTATTAACTCTTGCACTAAACGACCTTCTGTGCCTCCGTCCGTTAATAATGCTTCTTCTAAATCCTTAAATATATATATAACAGTAAATAAATAAAAGTACATACATACATACAGAAAAAGTTTATTTGCGAAACAGCCATACCAAGGGATATTTAGCATGGAAAGAATTGATTAATAGTATAGGAGGATCTACAAGTTCTCTAAAGCTTAAGCATTAATCATAAATGATGCATTTAATGTTTACAATTAGAAATTAATATATAATTAAATACCTCAATGTCAAAGTCTAGAAGATTGAAGGCAGCCCTAAATAATGAGCAGAAGTGTGCTATACTTGGCACCTCCCACCACGATTGTATGTCTACAAAAAAGTAAAATAAAAAATTAATGTTATTCAGTTAAAAATTATTCGAAATTGTTTCGTTGAAAAATTCTAGAAGTTCTTCCAGTAATATCACACCAAATCTAACGAGTGAACTATTTTAAAATATATATCCTAATCACCGTTATCATAATAACAATGGATTTTCTTGTAGTAACATATAAATAAACTTTTAAAAGTAGTAATAATACTTCTAATAATATTATATCAAATGTAATGAGTGAACAATTTAAAAATACGATTTCTAATAATTGATATCATAATTACAAACGATTTAGTTTTAGTAACACATAAATAAACTTTTAATAACAGATAGATAACAGAGCTATGAAATGTTTTCCACTGTACCATAATATTGTATAATGTTGTATAATTTCACATGTGTTATATATATGTATATACATATATACAATGCAGCTATAATATTAATGCTAACAATTAGATACTCTCCTTCTTAAAATATTTAATCGATTTGCATAAAGGAAAAAAACAACAATGAAACAAATATTTTACTTAATCGGGTAAGTATTAATAGTAATATTGTCTATAAAAAAAAATGGAGACAACTGTAAATATATATATACTTTTTAAATAAATTAATTAAAATACATGAGAAATTATTTTATTCTTTAAACAAGTCAAGGTACTGTAATTTTTTGAGATCACATTCTGGAATTTAGAAAATAGCTAACATATTATACTAAAAAAGGTATTAATAGTTGATAATTAAATTTCTCAAAATTATACGTTATGATATTAAAACTGAAATGTAATAAAATTGATTAATTGTTTATGAAATGCTATCACCTAAATTAATATAATATCTTTAATTAAGGTATAAGAAGTTGATCAAAATGACAACTTATCCGTTAAGGAATATTATAGATATAGATATAGATATAGATATAGATATATATATATATAAAAAGTATTCTGGTGATAATGAAGCTCAATTATGTAGTTATCTACAACTCACCTAGGATCCCTATAAAAGTGGGAAACATAACCCGTCGTGTGGCGGGTAAACCGGGTAAATCACGTCAAGGCGGTGAAAATTGCAGAATAACAAGGAGAGGAGGACGATGCTCCTCCTCTTAGGAATAAAAGTCGGTGATCGACTTTTATCGGTAGATTCGAAGAGCACGCCGAGAATGAAATAAAATCGAATTCAACAACAAGATAAGGTCGATCCTTCCTAAAATACCTGGATACAATTCGTTGAAGCACAACACCCGTAGTAGTCCACTACGTAAAAGAGCGGGTAATCGCATTTCCACATAGCTCGTTGCATTCCGCCGTCACGAACTCGATAACAGCTAAACGCATTTGTACATCGTCCCTTTTATTTCCCTAACTATACCAATGACAATTTTAATTAAACACTTATCCCCTGTGTACGGCTATCCAGCCGATTGTTAATGATGTACACGACACTCTACGACCATTATCTATTTGGGGAAAAATGTTCAACTCAAAACAACCACCAGTTTCGCATTGTTCAAGACGCAAAACTACATATACGCACATAAGTTCCGTCAACTTCAAATTAAACGGATGTACCTCGAAGTGTCTCCCACGTTATTCCGTCTCAACACTTATAATATATCTTTCTTATTAATATATCTCCCTTTTATAAACAATTCTTCCTACTTGTCGGCTGCTACTATTGTATCTTCATCTACCTCTTCGTCATCGTCGTCGTCGTCGTCGTCGTAGTAGTCGTCGTAGTCGTTAGTCGTAATCGTCGTAGCCGCTAAATATGCTACAAGAGAAACACGATATACAGGTACGGAAGTGTTGAACAGCACGAACCAGTACGGATAAGTGCGGATAAGTGCGGACCACCGGACTATATGTAACTTACCACTATCAAACCTGAACAACTATTGCGGGCGTATACCGTAGAACACGCATTATATAGAATCACGTTGGTCAGACTTTCTTCTTGACCATTTTCACAATTTAAGATCCAGTGTTGCAACATAACAATGTTTATTATATAGTTACTTTTAGTTTGAATAAACTATTTTATCAATTACTTTTTTTTCCTTTATATAATTTATTCATTTGTTATTGTTAATTATTGACAAATTCAATCAAATATATATATATAAATATATGTGTTCAATAAAAATGCTCTAGTTTTTGAGCCAATGCTTGACCAGTATTGACGATAATCTTTTTACTAATTGGTCACCCTGTTTGTATACATTTTATTTGAAACCTTCTAATTATGAACAATGCATTATAAATGCAATGCTAAATGTTTTTAACTTTTATATAGGATATATATTTAAACAATATAACAATGTTTATTTTTTAATAATATATATTTGTTATTTTGATAATCTCTTATAGCTTGAACAATATTTATTTGATTATTGTTGTACGTTCCCGCGTCTATATGGTTTAGTGGTTCGTCGTGTAAAACTATACGTGTACGAATCGGTAATAAATAACAAGCGTGTAAAAACGAAACGATTTGTTTAGCACTTTTTTAATCAATTCTATTTATTTTTCATTTTATAGCAACGGTGTAACTGTGAAAAAGTAGCAGAAACATTTAATAAGATTTTGTGAAACGTTTTTGGATTATTTTGAACATTAAAGAAATTATGTCTGCTTTTAACTTAAATGAATTAAAAGATGTTTTAAAGGATAACGCTGAAAAATCCGGCGTTTCTTTTGCAGGGAGAAATCTCAAACTTGATACTGAACAAGATGGTATTATATATTTTTATTTAATACAAAATAATTTAGAGGTTACGAGATATTATAAAACTTTATAGGTTAAGACATGAAGTACTTTTTTTCAATTAAAATCATATTAATATTTTATATTATATTTTTTTATTCATTAGCAATAGAAGTAATTAAAGCAATAGAAGAATGTCCACACTTGGAATTCTTCAATTTAGAAGGGAACACATTAGGACCGCTCGCAGCAGAAGCTGTAGCTCAAGCGTTACAGAAAAATGGAGCTCTTCTAAAAAGAGCTCTTTGGAAAGACATGTTTACTAGTCGATCTAAATCAGAAATTCCTCGAGCTTTAGAATACCTTGGCACTTCTTTATCTATGGCTGGTGCACAGCTTACCGAATTAGAGTTAAGCGACAATGCTTTTGGTCCAATTGGTATTAAAGGATTAGCAGAATTTTTAACTTCTAGAACATGTTATTCTCTTCGTGAATTACATTTAAATAATAATGGACTCGGTATATTTGGAGGTAAAATATTAGCTAAAGCTTTATTGGATTGTTGTCAATATAGTTCACGCGACGGTAAGTGCTAATTTATATAAATACTAACATGCAGTTTTGATCATTTTATAAAACTTAATATTATTACAGAAACGCAATTAGCATTAAAAGTGTTTGAAGTTGGAAGAAATCGATTGGAAAATGAAGGCGCTGAAGCTTTGGCATCTGTATTTAAAAAATTAACAACTTTAGAGGAAGTCGCAATGCCTCAAAATGGTATATCACATCGAGGAATTATAGCGCTTACTAAAGGTTTATCTGCCAATCCAAGATTACGTGTTTTAAATCTTAATGATAATACAGTAGGACCACAAGGAGCTCAAGCTCTTGCAAACATTTTACCAAACTTTCGTGCTCTTGAACATCTTAATCTTGGAGACTGTTTGTTAAAAACAGAAGGTAGTTGTATACTAGCAGCAGCTTTAGGAGTTGAAGGAAATCATCCTTTCCTTATGGAATTAAATTTAAGTTTCAACGAAATCCATACAAAAGGAGCTGGACCTATTGCTCAAGCAATGGCTGATAAAAGTTATTTGAATAATTTACACTTAGATGGGAATTCATTTGGAACAGATGGTCGTGCTATCTTACGTGAATGCCTTACAAATTTAGAACGTATCGATTCGCTAGGTACATTAAGTGAAGATGAAAGTGATGAAGAAAAAGAAGAAGATGAATATGAAAATGAAGACGAAGACGAAGATGAAGAAGAGGATGAAGATGAACATGAGGTTGTGGATGTGGATGAGGATGAGGATGAGGACGAGGACGAGGATGTAGATGCAGATAATGATGTGAATGAAGATCATGCAAATGATAATGCTGCTATAACAAATTTGTTAGATACAAAAATTGAAAAGAAAGTAACCATTTCAGATTTCTTAAAATCTCCTACAGAAGAAAAGTTATTACTATTACAGTATAATAATGCAGAACCTTTTGTTGAATATGTCAAGGTTTATTTTTCATTCTTTCATTTTTTGAATATAATTTTTGAATTTTTAATTTATATAAAATTGTTATTTATTTTAGAATTTAGTAAAAGATAATGAGAAGCAATCAGAATCCAATTTTATTGAAGAGTTTATTAAATTGGTTATGAATGTTTCTGCTTTTTGTGGAAGTAGACTTTTGAATGTAAGAATAAAAGCAGAAACTCTTACAGATATTTTATATGCAGAGCTCTTCGCATTTGTTGTAAAACACAAACAAATTACAATTTTGAACAATGCTTTACTTGTAAATTTAGGTTTATTAAAGGTAAGCATTTCAACTATATGTTTCAAATTGATAAATTTCATTGTATGTTCATAACTTTTATTATAGAGTGAAGATAAGAAGGCTGGAAAAATTGATTGGAATTTAGAAGGTTGTTTCAAAGCATTAGAAAAAATCAGTAAAAAAGAATATTTCCTCCAACAAACAAGGGATACATTAAAGTTTTTCTTGGAAAAACCAGTAACAGTTAGCCGTGTAAAAGTAACAGATCCTTTCCAAGATTCCAAAAATGCTCTTAAATCTGCATTAAATTGTATTCAAACAACATAATTATTGTGGAGTATACATTTAATAAAAATGTTGTCATATATGTGCCCATATTTACAATGAGCTAGTTGGTAAAGTAGTTTATATTCAAGAACTCTCCATCTTAAATAAAAAATTTTTCGTAATTATATATAATATTTATACAAAGTAATCAACTTTAATTTTGAAAAATGTGTATACACTTTTCCTGACTTGTACAAATTATTTTGTACACAACTTTTATGTTTTATACAAATTTGTATGCTGTGTAAAAAAAAAATTCACATACTCAATACAATACAATTTCTTCTATTAAATACTTTTGATAACAACAATATGTAAAAACCAATAATTCACATATAGAAAAATAAATAATTATTATATTAACTGAAAATACTAAACATTTTTAAATTTCTTCTTTTAGAATTCTAAAATATAACATTCAATTATAAAAATGGAAAATATAATTCATTTTTTACTTCCAACTATGTGTTCTATATTAAAATTGATAAAAATGTTTTTATATGAAAAGTACAACTTAATAATAAATCGTTAAAGCTTACACAAAAGCAAGTTATTATAGTCGTTTTAGATTGTTTTATGGCATATTTTTTAAATGCATCATACTGTCTTTGCATAAATAATACAACATTGATTTTCAGATAAATTTACAAAATCATATTCTAATGTTAAATTTAATAGCATAAAATAATAATCATATCTATCTTTACGTTTTAAATTAAAAACAAAACCGAACAAATACGTGTGCTATATACGCAAATGTGAATGTTTAATAGTTAACTTTTAAAATGTTAAGAATAAAAATTAAAAAAAGAAAAAACAAATAAAATTCTTGAATAATAAATAGTACTTATTAATTAACTAAGTTATATTATTAAAAAGTTTTGAATAATATCAGATAAAAACCATACTTCTAATTTCTTATGGCGTAGGTATGAAGTTATAAAGTTTATTTCATAGAGATTGCTGATATCGGATCCCATCCAGGTTGAAAAAGCTCTACAGATAAGGGAATACAATGTGATGATGGCTGATCGTTCATATACATGGTTGTCTGTAAAAAATAAAAATTAGAATCAAATATATTGTTTTAAACTAATATTGTTCCATTCAATATATGATTCATTTACTACCAAAAAGATAGTAAGTTGTTGTTTGGTTTTTATATCACAATCCTGACCAAGATTACAGGGATAAGATATTTTCTCATCATTCTTTTGATTCTCGTTTGCTATTAATTTCAAACAATGTTTTTCATTAATTTCAAGTGTTTCTATTATCAATCCTGAAAACAAAAATATATATATGTATATTATTTTTATAGAATTATATATTTTACATAATTAATTGCGTCTTTTTTTTGTTATTATTTATATTTGACTTACTCCTGTCATTAATATTTGCGGACAGAAATTTATTTAAAATAGTTAATGAGTCGGAATCTTCAGAGAAGAGATATGGATAACGTCTTAATAATAGTTTTGTCAGCAACATGTTGCCACGATTTCCTGCTAAAATATTAGCAGGACTACAAACAATTTCATCATTTGTTCTTCTTATTAACAATACTGTCCCATCGTACCTTGTTTTATATATTAATTATTAGATAAACACGATACTGATAAATTTTATAATAATTATGAGTGTTATAAATGTATATTAAATTACCACAAAAAAAATATTATACCTATTTAATTGTTCTGCTATATTTAAATTAAAATGTAATCTTATAACATCTTGCACTATTCCTTTTAATAAGGGCATGGTCATAATGGCTAATGGAAGTATATCATCGAATGTAGCATCTAATACCTATAATATAAGTGGTTGTTGTAATAAATTTAATATTGGTTTAATGATAATAATAAAATTGATTACCAAGCTGTGAATAGACGGATAATTCATGGCAGCCCAAGTAGCTGTATATCCACCAATACTCCATCCATAAAGTATTATTTTTCTCTCAGGAAACATTAATTGATGTTTAGCAAATTGCATTATACAATCAACAGCATTTTCCTCTTGTACTGGATATGGTTCACCCTTTGTGGTCAGTTTGATGTCTTACTGTTAGTCATATATGAATATAGATTGGCCGAAGAAGAAGTCTTGCCATTACTACAACTATGTATAAAATATATTCTAATTTTAAGTTAATTATCTTTGCATGTACAAAAGTTAAGAGGTGTAATATAATTAAATTAAGTTTTACATTAGTGATAACATAATAACTTATCAGTAATAGCAATTCTTCTCGTCGGAATGTGTTTATTACAGTACTCATCTAGCTCACTCATTTGTAAGCACAATACTTACAGTACTGCTACCAAAACCTGGATGATTCCATCCTAAGACAGAATAGCCTTTGTTTAATGGAGTAGATATAATACCAGTTTCGTAAAATCCACAATTTCCTTCGCATGTGATGACAAGTATGTCACCATTAGTAGTTCTATAAAAAATAATATTTACACAATATCACCATATCCTTATTTTTACTTTCGTATCGACAGAAAAAACAAATTTATATTACTTTTTCCTCTGATCAATAAATATTGTATCGATTTGATTTCCATCACAAGTTACCAGTTTATATCTTTCTCCTCCTTGTTTTATTAAATCTACTCTACCCTTCAATAGCATGGGATCTATAAACGAAATATCTAATTATTAAAGAAATATATGTTCGACATAAAAAGTATCAACTTACGTAATACCCAATTAATGACAGAGACACTGCCAGGATAAATTAATTTCAGAGCGAAACTGTATGCTATGATGAAGGACAAGATTATTCTTATTACGCTATTAGATTTCACTTCCTCCAATCTCAACTTTGTCCTATTCTTTTCTCTAATAAAAATATATAACATCACATATGACATTAAAATAATTATTGTTATAATTGCTTGTTAATAGATATGCACATTACTTTTTAATATACATTACCCTGTTATAGTAGAAACTCGAAATTCTACAGGCCAAGAACGAAAATCAAAATCATATTTGCATAACTCTTGTTTAGTTGTCATATTAGAATTTGCTTGATAATCTTTTAATGCTTTTAAGAATTTGGAATAGACTGCATTATTAGCTCTGGAGTAACCACGTGCTGCTAATGAAGTGAATAAAATTACATTTGCACCAGCCGCAACTTGACTTAAATAATATGCTATATCCATCACAGAATAGCATTGCAGATACATAACTACAGCAGCAGACATAAATGCATATGGACTTATAGACCAAACTGCAGTATACTGAAAAATAAGGTTATATATTTATTTCAGTATTTAACGTTTAAAAAACCGTTTATATACACATATCCTTGTAATAAAGTACTTGTACTTATAATTACAGATTTCATTGCAACAGACAAATAAACAAATAAAGTAATAACTTATATAAAATATATATTGATGGGAATGTTAAAAAAATTTATATTTAAGTTTATTGCAGTTAGTATTTAAATATAACTATATTCTATATTATATAGAAATAAGTACGCATTGACATAATTCTTATATCTCAAATAACGTTGTACAAATTAGCATACATTATTTGACAAGCATTATTATATTCAAAATTTGTTATTAAAAACTCACCGATATTATTACTCGATCACTCCAACGTTCTAATACTTTAGGTTCATATGATTTCTGTAAATTAAAATAATCATAACCTCCAAAAACTGCAAATAAATATAATCAAATAAATATAATAGTTACATCAATAAGTCGTCCAGTCGTTGTTACTTCGTAAATTTTAAAAAGACGTGGCCCAAACATATAGTAAAATAATATTCTCATTAACGACATATTTGATTTCCCTTTATTATATTTATCATATAAACTTTAACAAATCAATCCCCAGAACTATCGTTGGGGAAACCAAGAGAAACTATCAAATCATGTAAATCTGCGGTATGAGCATAGTACGCAGTCATGCGCAGTAGAATAAAGTAATATTACAACACGTATGAAAGTTATACGTGTGTAATATCAAATAATATTAGTTCAATTTGTCATTATTTTTATGCATTTATATCATTTTTTTTATAACGTCAATTAAAAGAATTATCTCATTTAGTATGGAATCAGAATAATACGAATACGTATAATCGCGATACGATTAATCGAATGAAAACCTTTAATCAACTTTTAGTTCCTATTTTTTTCGCATTCGTCGCTGACATTGCTACGATGAAAACTAATTGGAAGAGACTTATAAACAACAATGAATAGAAAAAAGACAATATAAGTAGTTTTTATCTGGTACATATACAATTTTTTACTTATAAAATAGTTAAAAATAATACATTTGTATAATTTAATTAAAAATATTGTGTTAGAGTGAATATTGAAGATTTATTAGAAATTTGTAAAGTTCATTTACATCTGTACTGTACATAATCCTTCTAACTATGGGGGAGAAAAGGCAAAATAGTTTATCTGTAAGTATATTATATAAAATTGCAATGATTATATATATAATTAATATACCTTAATTAAGATGTTATTACAATCATATTTATCCAACAGAAAGAAGAAATTGCAAAACAGTTTATGCTGCCAGAAAGAAAAAGTAAAATAGCTACTTTATTAAAGCAAGATGGTCAAGCCTATTGTATTTGTAGAAGTTCTGATAGTTCACGTTTTATGATGTAAGTTCCTATAAAATTATATAAATATACAAATTTAATATCATTTCTGTAAATACTATATTTGTCATCTGTTACAGCGGTTGTGATGCATGTGAAGAATGGTACCATGGAGATTGTATAAATATAACTGAGAAAGATGCTAAACATATTAAACAGTTTTTCTGCATTGTAAGTTTAGATGAAATTTAAGCATATTATGTGTGATTCTTTTTATAACTAAAATATATTTATTATAATTATTTTATAGCGCTGTAAAGAAGAAGATCCAACATTGATTACACGATATAAACCACGTAAGACAGATCAAGAAGATCGAAAGCATAAAAAATACAAAGAAAAGGAACGTGCTCTTAGATATGAATATGATGCACCTTGGGATCCAACATTGGTTAAAAAATCATCTAAACGATGTGGAGAGTGTACAGGCTGTCTTCGCACAGACAATTGTGGAAAATGCGATGCTTGTAGGCATTTAAAAAAATTTGGTCCATCTGTACGATTAAAACTTAGATGTATACAAAGAACTTGCAGAGTATTGGGTGATCCACTGAAACCATCTAAAAGTTTCACTAAAGGTTTAAAATTTAATAAAAAGCGTAGAAGAGATTCAAGTAATGAGAGAAATGAACATTTAGAAGCACCGCGACATTGTTATGGTCCTGCTTGTACGAAACAATCACGTCCAGGTAGTAAATATTGTTCAGACGAATGTGGATTAAAACTTGCAACTAACAGAATTTATCAAGTTTTGCCACAACGTATACAAGAGTGGTCATTAACACCGTGTATAGCTGAACAAAATAATAGACGGGCTTTAGAATCAGTTAGGAAACAACAAAATGACGTTAGAAGAATACTTCAGGAGTTAGATAAAAGACATGCAGAATTAGATAGAATAATAGAACGTGCTAAACACGCAACTATAGATCCACAAGCAGAAGTCGATGATAATGATGATACTGAAATGAGCATGTATTGTATCACTTGTGGACATGAGATACATTCTAGGACAGCTATTAAACATATGGAAAAATGTTTTAATAAGGTAATTTTTTTTTTAAATAATATAAATATTTTTTAAAATATTACCATTGTGCTTTTATGATGTTTTACTTATATTATTATTTTATTTATAGTATGAATCGCAAGCATCGTTTGGCTCCATTTTTAAAACACGTATTGAAGGACAAGTAATGTTTTGTGATTTTTATAATCCTGTTAATAGAACTTATTGTAAAAGATTACGTGTACTTTGTCCCGAGCATTGTAAAGATCCAAAAATCACCGAAACAGAAGTTTGCGGATGTCCCTTGGTTACTAATGTATTTGATGCAACTGGTGAATTCTGTCGTGCTCCAAAAAAGAGTTGTGTTAAGCATTATGTCTGGGAAAAATTGCGTCGTGCAGAAATAGATATGGAAAGAGTAAGACAATGGTTAAAAATCGATGAACTCGTTGAGCAAGAAAGACAAATTAGATCTAATATGGCCACTAGAGCTGGAGTATTGGCTTTGATGTTACATTCTACTTACAATCACGAATTAATGGAACAAATGACTCAAGAACAAAGCAGAGAACAATTAGAAGCAATGGAGGAAGAACTACAACGTAGATACAATTTACATCAAAACCGATCAATGGAACAAGAAACATAGCTTTATTTCAATACATTTTAAATGTGAATTTTATGATAAGCCTAATATTTAAGTTCTGGTGTGTATTATTTATTTCTATATGAGCAAATACTATTTCTTTCATTATACTCGATTAATAACAGACACGAAATCATTAAATTTATTTACGATTAAAAAAATGTTTGTTACATGATTTACTTTCATGAAAATATATTTATTTACACGTATATAATATATGGATTTATTGATAAAATATAAATAATATCCTAAAAGTTTCGTCTTCCATCAATGTAAAAGTTTTATTAAAACAATATATAACAAGTCTCTCTTCTAAAAATTGTAAAATGTTTATTAAAATTTACGTATGGGTGTTAAAGTAGAGTAAACTTCGTTTAAATTATAATTAGGTAATGGGTAAATAATAAATTGACTGCTTCATTTATCACAGTAACGATTACTCTATACAATTTTCTGAATATTTCGATAATTAAATCTATTCTTTAATGTGTAACGAAATTGCAAATTTTTATTGGAATTAAAAATAAATCTATTTGCATTATTACGTTTTGAGAACTTTTCTTTCTATTTAACACAAAATTATTGAAAAGAAAAAAAAACAAAAAATATATATATATATAAATATTTGCAAAGTAGTTTTTGGTATATATATAATACAGAATATGATAAAAAATTATTTTTAAAAATCGATCTATGACTAATCCTTACTCAGGAGTGGCAGGTGTGAGTATTAATTGTGGTATCAATATCTGTTGTTTTTTATTTATGTCACGCGATTTAAATAGCTTTGCTGAGAAAACAAAAATACTCTTTTTAAATGTTTGAAAAAATCGGACCAAAACGCATTTCTTTAGACATGAAAACGTATTATTAAAATGATTACCTTGATTTTGTTGTTGAAGTTTTGGGATTTTTGATGTTATTTTCTTTTTCGATGCGTTTGCAAAGTCCGTTGAAGAAATATTCGCATGCTTAATCGGTTTATTTGTTAATACTGTATAATTCTTGCGAGGAATAACAGTTCTTGTATTCATAGATAATTTCGGTGTACGTTTAGACAAAGAAATGTGACAAAACGTGGTAAATTCACGTCTTTTGCAAGGTGTTCGCAAATTAACAGTAACTTCATTGATGAATTTTTGCTTTTTCTTCGTAGACGGATCAGTGTCTAAGGAGAACATTTTTTCTAACTGCAATTACGTAATAATTAAAAAAGTATATAAATTTGTTTATTTAATGAGTATACATACTAATCGAATTATCATTAAACGAAGAGATTTCCTTCATTTCCTCCCTTTTTGATAAGTTCTACCAAATAATAATTTATTATAAAAACACCAATTATATATATGCACTCAATGAAAAAATGAAATAGCGTTGAACAATTGAATACAACTTACTGATTGTTCATTAAACGATTCTTTGTTTTCTACGGTGTTTTTGTCATTCGAAATATTAAAAATATTCATAGTTTGGTCCTCATTTATTTCGAAACTCAAATTATTCGTAGAGTCGTTCGCAGTTTCCAGTGCTACGAATTTATTGTCGATATTCGTTTTTTGATCTATCAGTAACGATTTTATTTTCACGAAATCCCTAAAATACAAAGAATCATCGAGTTTCTCTTCCTTATTTTCCTCTGTATTAAATAAAACAGAAGAATTAAAAATATCTTTACTAATTTTAGCGATAATTGTTGAATTGTCATTATTGTCTTTTAAAGACGCAATATTGTTATCTTTATTTATTCGATTATTGGACTCTGCATCGAATTTTAATAATTTACTTAAATGCATTCCCGTATTTTCAACAATATTGTAATTAGACAAAGAATTCTCCGATTCTTCTTCTATGGAAATTAATTTATCATCGCATTTCACACGATCCAAAAAAGTTTCGTTAGAAGATGCAGTATCATTTGTCGAATCTATGCTATCTTTATTTTCTGTTATTAATTCCAATGATTGCTCAGTATTATTGATTTTATCATTTGTATTGTGCAAATTTACTTCTTTAACGTTTTCTTTTTTAACGTTGATGATGTTCAAAGGTTTTCCAAAAGCCTCATCCACCATCTGCTTTATTAAAATACTTAAAGGAACGTTATTTTTAAACAAGTCCGTAGTATTTGTATTTTTGACACAATTTGAATCGGTAGGCTGAATATTTTGTTCTTCAGCAGCATTACATTTGAAATTTTCTTTATTTACATCTTCCCGAGAATATTTAATGTTATCTAAATCATCGTTAAAATACCTCTTTACCTTTTTTTGCTTTTGATTATTACAAATTGATTTATTGTTGGTCAGACACGTTTTATATTTATTGTTCAAAGATTCGTATACTTTTTTAAATTTAATCGATGTTGAAAGAACTGTACAGTCCGGATAATTACTTAAGTTTACTTCTACAAAAATCAATAGAAAAAATATCTTACACCTTTCATTCGTATTTATTAGACGTCATTAATTTTGCTAATTAACAACGAAAATAGACAAATATTGAAATATTGAAATACCATCGTTGATACTTACTTTCCTCTTCCATTTCTTTTTTTTTTATACGTATATCTCCTTAATGCGTCTAAAATAATATAGATTAAAAATGTATTGCCAAAATAATAAAAATATATTGACAATCAAGAAGAAAATCTGATTATTTGTTTCCCGAAATTTTTGTGTGCCCTTATTACTGTTCTAACGTTATTACGAATTCATAGATCGTTTCTAACTGAGAATTGTCCTTTGACGACGACTCTAAATATTAATTTGTTTTCGATAAACGAAATAATTTTTCAAACGTATTATACCTTATAAATTCAAAACGATACAGAAGAAGAGTCTTAACCGTTTATCTTCAGTTTTGTATTAATAAATCTATCATCTTTTTACGTCCATCTTTGTGCGAATACTGAAATACTAAATAATGAAATTTATCAAAGATCAATTGCATCCTTAATATTTTTACCTTTTAACCATAATTTTTTGTTATTTTTAACATAGAATACAATTTCAATTACGTATGTAATAATATTAATGGGAAAAAATACTTTATAGAAAAAAATAGAAAAAAAACAAAGAAGACACGTTCTCCATTCTTTTCTTATAAATCTTCTCACCATTTTAATGGATGTTTGATGATTAAAAAAAAATATATATAACATAGACTTTTTAGTAATTAGTATAACGTAATCTTAATCAAAAGAATTTGATGAAGTGGAATCATCAACTTTTTAGTACTTTTTTCTTCTTTTGCGTGAAAGTGTCTGTATGTGTACTTAATCTAACAAGAATTGTCAGATAGCGAATGTAAGTTTAGATTAAATGAAATAGGGCCTAACGAGAAGACTGTTATGCGTGTGTGTATGTTTAATATATATATATGACAGGGATGAGAGTAAATGTTGTGTGGCATCTTCTTCTTTATTCGTTTCGTTTGCTTGCGAATTGTATTATTTTTTTGTCCTGTTTTTCTTCCTTTTTATTATCGTTATTATTAATATTATTATTAATATTTTATTATTAATATTATATTATTATTATTATTTTCGACGTATCTGTGAAATCACACGCATTCTCCATTTTGACTATATTATTCTATAAGAACACTCTTACTCGCATAACTTAAAATTTTTCTTTTATAAATGGAAAATGTTTGAATTCCCTTCTCTCATATGCTGTTCAATATATATATATATATGTATATATATATATATATATATATATATATATGTGTGTGTGTGTGTGTGTGTGTGTGTGTAATTATGTATTTCTGCGCGTACACAATTTATAAATTAAATATCGAGTATGAGCACTTCTTACTTTTTTTTTTTCCTTTTTTTTTTGTTTTTACCATACAAGAAAATCTCAACTTTAATTATAATTATATTAAACACGTATTTTAGTTTTTTTTTACTCTCCATTTTTGCATGTATGATGAATGCATGTTTTTTCCTTTCCTCCCTCTCATCTCCCACGCTTTCATTTTCTCACATACTCATACTCACTGTATAATTTTATCTTTTCGCATTTAATAATATACATATATGTATGTATATATATATATACATATATATATACATACTAAATGTATATTCGCACGTACACACACGCACACACACGCACGCAACGAAAAGGAAACGAAACAACAACGATGTATTTATCACAGTACCGTACGCAAAGCTTATATGAATTTGCAGATAGAGAATAGCATAAAAGGCCAAATGGCGACGCGCTATATATGTACATGTACATGTACATATATACACACACACATATATATATAGACGCTTCGTTATATATGTCCAAGAAGGATTTTCCTGTTCGTAAAAGAAGCATTGAACGTTTCGAGTTTTAAACACACACAAACTCTTCTCGTTTATTTAACATACACGCACACACATTCTCATTCTCTCTTTTTTTCCATCTTTTCATTTTTATTTTTTTGCCTATTTATTTATTTATATTTATTTGTTTGCTATCTGTCTTTCTTGCGCACGAAAGACACAACACACGCGCAACGTACTCTCTCTCTCTTCTTCTTTTTCGCATCGCATTTATGATTTTTTTTAACTTTTTACATATTTATGTAGTATCTCATGGCAATGATATTCTTTACACATCCATGGTCCATGACTGCTTTACATAAAATTGAGTGGAGTTGGTTTTTTTTTATATTTTTTTTGTATCTTTTTTCATTTTATTTTATTTTATTTTATTTTATTTTATTTTATTTTATTTTAGTTTACTTTATTTTAGTTTACTTTATTTTAGTTTACTTTATTTTATTTTACTTTACTTTATTTTATTTTACTTTATTTTTAATATTAGTAACAAAATAGTAAGCGATGTTTTATCGGTGTCCTCGCGCATGTCCGGAGAATTATTATAAATGAATATTTTTTCTTTTTTTCTTTTCCGATCGTATATTTATATATGCGATCTTTTTAATTTTGTTCTTTTTTTTGTTTAAAGATTTTTTTTCTTGGACAATAGCACGCTACATATATTTTGGTTTCTATAGAGAATAATAAAGTATCTGCATATACATGCATATATATATATATATATACGCATATATACATATACAAATAAGAGGAGACATATACATATATACATATATATATGTTCGCGTCAAGCGACAGCGAATCATCATCATCATCATCATCATCATCATTATCATTACCATCATCATCATCCGGACACGCATCATCACCTAAATACATGTATGGCGTGCGTCAAGCAAAAATCCAAGATTTTTCTTATTCCTTTGCTTTGTATGTTCTGTCAAAATTCAATTCTAAACGCGAGAAAAACAGGCCGATAAAAATTGTTAAAAATAAGTTAATCGCGTTTCAGATACTGCTTTGTTTTTAACTTTCTTTTGAAGCAATAAACAAGAAAAAGAAAAATTAAAAAATAAAAATAAAATACTTTAACAAAAAAAAATAATCTTAGTTTATGAAAGATAAATAATAAGAAGCAGTTTAAAACCATTACTCTCGAATTTAATATTAATAATCGGAGCTATTGATATTAAATATATGAAATAATCAGTCGTATCTTCGCATTTGTTAGATTTAGACATTTTGTTAATTATAAGAAAAAGATAATTAATCATCTCGGATAGTATTGCTTGGCAACGCATTTTATACCCACAAAAAGGGAACTTTGGCAACATACTAATAATTGGCAATAACATTCTTTCTTTCTCTCACATACATAAGTATTTATATATATATTTATTTTTTCTCAGCTGGGCAGTACAGCCTTTTTCTTCAATACATTTTTTTGTTGAATCCTTCATTAATTATTGTTTTCTTTCTTTCTCGCACAATCACACTGCATTAACTCTCTTTCTTTCTTTCGTCCTTTCTCTCATTCTTCATCGATCATCGCTATATTCCACATAACAATCTAATTAATATTAAATCGAGTGTGACTTCCATAATGATAATAATAGCTATTAAATGTATATATTTACAATACAGAAAATCGTTCATCACTTTGAATAACAAATTGTACAGTGATACAAGGCTAACAGTGAGATCGCGGCTCGGATCATTCATTATTTTGAATCCTAACCGAGCTTCTCTCGATTTTTACTAATTCTTTTTACAGGATAATGATATATGTATCTATATTCGCTCATATATCATCGTACAATCGAATTTGAATCAATCCTTAAGGACGAAGCATATCTTGGAAGGAACGTCTAATGAAGTACGATATGCATGTAGAAAATTATTAAAAAAGAAAAGAAAACGAAAACGAAAATAATAATAATAATAATAATAATAATATTATTAATAGTAATAGCAATTAAAAAAAAAACATACAAAAAAAAAAGAATGGAAAGATTTTTATAAAGATTGACAGATAATATTAAAGAACTTTCAAAAACATTTCTCGACAATAAAGTTCTGTATAATTGTGATGTGTAATAATAATAATAATAATAATAATAATAATAATAATAAGGGAACTTTGACTCTACGTGCAAAATAATTGATATGACCTTTGACTGTGTTTTGATGTGACGAACTGGTGTTTTAAAATGAAAAGAATAAAGAAAAAAAATCTTTTACAATTAAAGGATCAATGGCATGAACAATAATGCATAGGCCACATATTTCTGAATAAATGCGAGTAGCCTAAACGTATAAGAAAATAAAGCATTTGTACTTTGCTTATACTGTTAAAGAATAATAGTGACAGTAAAGAGAAATAGTTCGCTGCTTTCTGTGTGTACATAGATTTTTAATCATTAGTTAATATCTCTTAACAACGGTTGTTGATTGTAGATTCAGAAACAAAGATAAATATATATATCATTTGCATACATGGCGATTTCTTTTATTTCTGCCTTTTTTCGCACATTTAACGAAATTATTAAAATATGTGTATTCTGGATGCAATGTGTAGATTAGCATAGCTGCCTTCCCACGCTAAATTATTTACATATCATTATTTTATGGTCCTATTATTTTCATGAAGTACATCTGCTTGTTTTCCTTAATGTAACTACTCTGTGTGAATCTTGTTATTTTCAGCCATTTGAACCGGTCAATGGCACGAGCTGATATTGTTATCTATTATTTTACTTTACTTTATTTTAAGGCGATGAAGCACCTGACTTGAACAGTTTTATGCATATTGGATTAAAAGTTTGTCAAAAAAAATATTATCCTACTTAAACGAGACACGTGTTTTTCAATTGACTTAACTCCTTTGATGTCTTGGGGATTTAAAATTTATTAATTGATCTAATTAAAAATATTATATTAATGTAATGAATTTGGAATTTACGTTTTATAAAATATATGTAGATTTTTAAAAGCATTTAAATGAAACATAAATAAATGTGATACGAATACCAATCCAACTAACAATCAATATAATATATCTTATGTAAATTATTTCTTTGTATTTTTTGATTATGAGTAAACAAAATGAAATATATATGTATATATATTGGTCCAAATGATCTTATGTAGCAACTATACAACACGTGTTATGCAATAAGATTAATTGCTGCATTATTGTCTAAATTAAAAATCCTGTATTTGCAATATTTTAAATATACTTCCACAATTATAATTTTGCTCTTAGAAAAGATTATATTTTCTTTGCACACTAATATCCAATATGCATTTATATCTCTCATACTAAATACTTAAACTCTCTTTGCTAGTTTTCAAAGCTGCACCCCCAGCTGGGCTTATATATTATCGAACAAACTGAAAAAGAATATCAACAAAGTTCATTTCTCTTTTTCTTCGCACTCTCATACATAATTTCGATATTACGAAAAAAGAAAACAATAACAAAAGTTATTAATCTTATATCTTAATAGTGATTGAATTTCATTAATACTAAATAGATGATATTCATCATGCTTCCATAAGAAACTTATCACACGTATAGGTAATATGTTATTTAGTTATTACCATTAATGATATATTTTTCACAATTATCCGTGAATTCTATATTCAATTGGAGAGATTGCTGTCACAACTAAACTACTAGATAAATTGTTATTTAGATTATATGAAATTGATAATAAAGGATCACTTAAATTTTTAAATTATTTTATATTATGGCAAATATTTATGATCACAAATTACCAACACTGCAGTACAAGTACCATTGTCATTAAAAAGAAGAAAGTATAGTAGTGTAATCTGGAGTTTGAGCAAGAAATCTATAAATCCGCGTTGAACCAGCAAAGCTATGTATTTTCATTTGACATAAATGCGTTTACTATATGCAGCTTAATCGCGTGGATTTATATAAACAAATAATATAAAAAAAAATATACAAATTTGATATTGAATAAAAAACATTATTTTTATATACGTGAAACCAGAGATTTATATAAGCAAAAATGAAAATAAAACATTATTCCTTTTCAAATGAGACATTATATATCGTGTTTTTATATACTATATAAGAATATATATAAATAGTAATTTGTTGTAATATTTGGATCTTTTTAGGAACACATCTTTTACTTTTTCAAATAATTGCTACTTTGACGTAACAAGAAGTTATTATCTGAAGGAAATTATAAAATATGACATTCTAAATTCAGTGCTTCCTATTTCAGACTTATATTATATATATAATTAATCTTAATTAGAAACACACTCAAATTTCGGAATATAATGCACAATTTGTATAATGTGCTTAAGTCAATGAAATTTCATATATAATTATCACACAAGTGTGTACAGCAATCTCACTAATGAAATCTACTAATAAAATAAATGATTACCTAGGTAAACTGCATACATTCACACTCTCAATTTAGATCATCACAAGCAAGAATTTTATTATTATTATCATTATCGATAATTAATAATTAGTTATTTATTAAATAAGCGAGTCTGTGTAAAAATTTAGTGAGTTTTGACACATTCGCACTCTCGGTATCACTGTGTGAAGAATCAGTTCGAGTTTGGAGCGCAACATTTTCAAAAACCAATTTATATGATACTTTCTTAAATTATCGTTTACCACAGCTGGAAGAAGTAACCATTTCACGGAGAAAATTGTTCCATATCAAGTTAATTACACTGTTTTAATATGTTACACATATGCTTTAATGTCTCTCAGCACTTATTTTTACTTTTTCCTAATACACTTTGCACAGTGTTCTTTACTTTTCATGATGCTGTCTCTCAAATAAAGTATATATACTTTTAAGCTTTTCACTATTTTTTCATTTTTTACTCTTAGGACTTCGATGAAAATTCACTAATCACTTCAATCACTCTGAATTCATATACAAATAGGTCATTCCAGCTCGCAAGATATTAAGACATTGATAGATTGCCTGATAACAGTTCGATGTACATAGTTAATGCAACATACTATTTATAAACTACCCATTGGGTTTTTATATATGGTGCACTAAAATGACGAATCTGTAATTTTTAAAGGCATCAGCATTAAACAGTTCTTGCAATGTAAGCATCTTAAACTGGCTTAATTGCAATATCATTTGGAATCGTCTTAAATCCATTAATATATTCTTATGCAATTCTTAAAGCCATACGTTTATTAGATGGTGCCCCAAGGATACTTCTCTAAACCATATGCACAACCGTAGTATATGTGTATATGGCTTAAGTAATGCAATAATTACCTTCTTTTGGTGAGAGAGGAGCAACATACACATTTCTTATTATATTCATTCTTTATTTCCCGTTAAAGATGGTGTTATGAATGAATATTATTATGCTGCTATTAATATTATGTTGCTATGGTTTTTGCAAAAATTGCGTAAGCATAATCTATGTACATAGATGAAAAATGTATCCTTTCCAGTCTCCATTTTTTTTTGGTAACTGACCTATTTACATTATTATCTCTTGAGGCACACTGCGCCATTCGGCTATCCTGGTATAACATTAATAATGAAATCCAGCTTCAGACAACAGTTGATGTGTTTTATCAAAATCTTGATAAAATGTTATAAGTATTTCTATCCATTACATCAACCTTTTCAAATATGTTATCTGATATTTAAGTTAAATAGCTTTTCCGAATGTAATAATATGTAGATAATAGTTCACTCATATCAAACTGTATATAGTATATTTTTGTTTGTAGAATTGAGTCCATTTCACTGTCCACTGTAATATTGTATTCTGCCTGTTTCTGCTGTCTCTCTCATAACAGCATCCCACGCTATGTTCATGAAAACAAAAAAAGATAAAAAAAAATGAAGATCACATATATTTTAATGTATAATAAAGTTATAATAGCATAGATATAAAATGAAATAAAATATAAATTTCATAATTACACTTACCCAATCCAACAAACGAGACAATTTTATCGTGATTATAATTCTGTATATTCACATCTTCTTCAGGTGCTACATATAGCATTGCAAAATCTTCCTTTGGTTGATGATTGTATTTTTCTATAATTCCAGGAGGTGGAGGTGGTGTTGGTGGAGAATACATTGCTGGTGGAAACCTTGTTGGATATCCAATATATGTTAAAGATGGAACCATAACAGAATGTACTGGTTGTTGGGCCACATGACTGTTAGGCGATTGCATATGAAAATTTGGAGGAAATTTATCATATCTCACATGTTTATCGTAGATAGCAGGTGGTCTATCAAAATTTGGAGGTGGTTTATTAAGAAGTGGTTGAACCAAAGAAGGAAATGTAGGATTTGCTGGTGGAGTCTCTACAGAATCTTCCGAGAGTAAAAGTTCATTAATCTCAAACCCAAATGTTAACTCTGTTGGTAAATCACTGCCTTTCAGAAAGTCAGATGTCTCATCCAACAAGATAACTGCAGGTCTGGAAGAAGTATTGTTCTTCTTTTTAGATCCTTGTATTTCTACGGATTTCTGTACTTTATCATTTTCAGTAGACATTAATGACTTTGATTTTTTATTTTCATTATCTTCTTGATTATCTTGCTTTATATTATGAGATAATACAACTCCAGATTTTCCAGATTGCTCTTTCGCAATTTTCACCATTTTGTCTACCTTCATCTGTATTTTAACAGAGTCTACATCAGCATTCTGTGCTTCATGTGTCGGCTTTGGATTATTATTCAATCCTTTAAGTTTTGGAGCCTCATTATCATCTATTATCGATCCTATAACATTAGCTTTGGTTTCACAATATACAACAGGACTATCTGTGTTATGTATCTTCTTGACATTTTCATCTTGATATCCAGTTTTCCTATAATGTAATTCTTCTTGTTGACTTTGTATATTTTGATTACTTTGCGAATAACTTCTTCTATTTCGTGGATTATTTATTTTTGTATTCGCAACAATATCTTTATTGTTATTAGAATAACTAGGATTGTTATTTTCAGAGTCGAATGAATTATTAGTAGTATTATTTAATTTAGATTGAATTGCATTTGGTGTTGTCTCATTCGAATGTGGATTACAGTTAATCATGTTCATATGTTTTTGTTCCTGTTGCGTCAAACTTTGCTGCATTTTTTCTATATCCTGGAAATATTTGAAAACTTGCATATTCTTATTAATTGCCTCTTCTTGTGCTTCTGCCTTCTTTCGATCTGACGAATTCTTAATCTTTGACAAAGTTGGAGACGGTGGTTTTTCAAAAGTAAGACCAACATTGTGAACATGATTTGAATGTGCAAAACCATGTTGTTTTGGTTTCCTATCGGAGTGTTGTAATTCATCCAAACTTGGATAATAATCTTGAGGTAATTTATCTGGTTCTGAGGGGGTTTTAGATGAAACTCTTGGCCAAGATGACGTATTTAACATACTTGGAACTATTGGCATATTTAAAACTGAATTATGTGACATATTCATAGTAGCCATCCGAGCTATATCTGCGTAACTTGCTTGTGGTGTTCCTCCCGAAGAGGTTGCTGTTTTTGATAGATTATGTTTCGAGGTATTTGATGTAACGGGTAACGAATGGACCGAATCCAAGTCGCTGCTATCAGATTTATCGCTGTAAAAAAATAGCTTATATACAAATAATTCAACAACAAAAAATATTTATATATATAAAATATTTATTGTATTGTACCTTGGCGGCATACTGCTAGTAGATTTTCTTCTGAGCTCTGGCGACAACGGTGCTCTATACTCGTTCGAAAATTCTCTTGGATTTTGTAAATATGATCCAGTTGTTGATAAGTTTTGCGCTCTACTACCACTGGAACTTCTACGTTGTTTTTTAGTCTTCTTCTTTTTAGTAACTATTAAAAACTCGGGCTCCTGTTCTGGTTCTGGATTAACTTTTTTGTTAGAGTTTCGACGGCTAGTATAATCGTCTCCAGTATCATTGCAATATATAGACTGACCCTCCTCCGTTCCCCAAGAACGTCTGTCACCACGGCAATCTACAGCCGCATCTCCTGTACTTCTTTGTTTCGCACGACGTAATGCCACATTAATTGTACCTTTCAAGAACATTTTTTAATATAAATATTTTATATTATTTCACATAAACTGCATAATTAAACAAAAAATTCGAACTTACTACTATGCTGACTGGAAATACTGCTATCGCCACTAGAACAATTGCTTTGTTCTGCGGTAAGGTCCTCAAGTTTTGTTTTTGATATTTCCTCTAAAGAATTTGATTTTTGTAACTTAGTTGATAATTGTTCTCTTTTAGAATCCTTTTCTCTTGTCCTCGGTTTTGTTCCAGAACTAGATTTCACTCTAACAGGATTACCAGTTTTGTTCTTTTTACCTTTAGATTCTTTGCTTTCGATGAAGTTAAGTAAACTATCAATATCGTCCTCATTACGATGTCCTACAACGCTTTCAGCGGTATAAACAATAACATTAGGTTCCTGTGTATGCTTCTTTCCGCGTTTCTTTCGTTCTGCATTATAATTTTGTACAGCATTACCATTTTCATCAAGAGATTTCTTTTCCGCAGAAGAAGTTGCATCTTTCATTATGGCATACTGTGTTGTACATCTTGGAAGTTCTATTGGGAAATTACCATTAACATTCCAATCTTATTTTTTGAACAATTAATACAAATATCTTACCTAATGCATTATTTTGAATCTGCCATGAAGCTGGCATCATGGAACATAAACTTGAGATTCCTTTTCCTTGATTATTGTTAGTACTGTTTCCTGAACCACCAATAACACATTTCGCACTATTATAAGTTTGAAATGGAAAAGCTCCCGTCACCTCAGCACTAACTGATATTTTTGATTTATCCTGTTTGCTGTTATGGTCACAAATCGGAAATTTTATCGTGGTATCTACAGGAGTCTGAGCTATATCAACAGTAGCACGTGCTATAAATTGTCTACGTGGCTCAATAATTTTCATTTCAATTCCCTCATCTTCAGCGTCTAATGAGTGAGGTCTTTGCTGTACCCCACTTGTTGTAGATCCAACATTCCTTTCGCTAAGAGCACCTACCTATAAGAAGTAATTTACACACATTCTAAATTATCTTTTAAATATTTTTGTTAGTAAAAATTTTATATTTGTTCTCAATTTATTATTTTAAATAAATTGAATAAATATCTTCAATGTAAATTAAGTTCATGTATTTAAAAAATTTGAAATAAATTTTCTGCATTACCTCAACATAACTTAAATCAATAACAGTGTAATCAGATTTATACTCTGGTGGTGGATTATCTGATTCAAGCATCTCATTTGTCCCGTATTTTCCTTTACTGCTTTTCTTCTCGCGTTGTTCACTTTCGGATTCGTAAAATCCACTTACGCTATCCCTTTTATTATCTTTTTTGTCTTTTTCTTTGTCTTCTTTTTTTGATGAAACACTCGATGATTTGTCTAAAGATTTTGACTTCTCCTTATTAGTCCAATCATATGTTGTTCTTTCTTCAGAAAAGCCCTTCTGTAGAAAATCATGAGAAGAAAATACGAATTGTAGTTTATAATGATTTAAGATGTTTAGGATATAAAATTATAGTATTGAGTACAAATTTGCTTTTACGAAGACAATTAATACAAACCTTGTTGTCAAATATGAGATCAAGATTGGCCAAAGAAGCAAGACTGTGGGATGCATTAACATTAGATGGTAGAGATCCACCTTCTCTTTCCCTAGCAGAAACACTAGGACCTGTGTATTTCTTATTCTTTTTTTTGCCACTTCCGTAAGTGTGACTAGAACCAGATGTTAGATAAGCAAAGCTACTATCAAACTCTGATGCAATAGGTTGTGCTAAATTCTGCAAAGAACCACCGTGTCTGTGACGTTCTGATACAGAATCTCGTTTATGCCTTCTACGAGTAGAACCAGGGAGACACCGTGAATTAGTCACTACCCTACGACCTTCTTCGGTCTCATCAGCTTCAGCTTCTTGTAAGAGTTCCTATAATCGGAAGATTTCTTTTCTAATATTGCCTTTATTTTCTGTTAACATTTTATATAACCATATTATTATTATATTTCATATAAATAATATAGGTTTGCTTTACATTATGAAATTGAAATGAATAAAATGTTGTTAAAGATTAATTACATCGATAGGAAATGTTAATATTTAATTGTTGTTAATACCTTAAATAAGTTAGATTTTCCTTCACGATCTTTAGGACATTTATAAGTTATAGCTTCGTTCAGTAGTGCACGCAATCCATCATCATCTAAAGTAAGGAGAGTTGGTTTTCCCTAGACAAAAAAATAATAAATAATACTATTAATATATATAATTATATATATAAATTTTTATTAATATACCTGCATATATCAAACAAGTATTATATCAACATTTAGGGTTAAATAAAAACATTGTAAGATCAGTAGTATATATTCAAAGAATAGTCTGATTTGAAAGAGTTGTGTCACTAAAAAGTACTTGTATTATATAAGATACAAGAATTAACTAGCATGACTGTATTTTCTCATTCATGCATAATTTCAGTTTTTTTACAAAATTGCATACTATAAAAATATATTTTCTACAATTAAATTAGTGATAGCACAATTTAGAATAGAACGTCTTAAACATCCATATATGGTAAGGAGAATGTACTCGGCAATTACAATTCAAATAAGGTAAGTATGTCAATTGGTTAACCAAAACTTCAGAATCAATTCTATTTGGAAAAGATTTTCGCAATACGCATATAAAATGATGTTTTGAAGTCAACTAAAATAATAGATTTAATCTGTTTGTATCTTAAAATAGATTTTTTTGTACATATATACAAAAAAATAACTTTTGCACAATGATGTAACTAATAAAAGTTATTTTTTTTGTATATATATTTCATCAAAACATAAATAAGGATTTGATAAATAAGAAATGTCGAATGATAGAATATATCAAAACAATTAATCGCTTAAACAGTTATTATTTTTATGGTATTAAAATTGGCTCGTCAGCGTATTAATTGTAGAGAGATACCCAGAATAAAAAGTTTCAAGTTTAATGTATTGCATACATTTCAAATATTTAGTAACTCTTTTTATACGACGTTGAATTACAGGATCAACAATATTATTATCCATACTTTCTGATCATGCTAATATATATATCATATTAAAGATTATATTTAAACTATATAAGAGTATTAACAATTGAATGTAAACTTGTAATATATGAATTTTCTCAAACTGCATCAAAATCATTTATATGTTAAGGTTTGCGTACAGTATTATATATATTATTTGATCTGTTATCATAAAGAATACAATTTTTGGTTAGATGTGTTATCACAGTTGGTACATTCAATTGTAATTTGAATTCAAATAACCAAGTGTTGAAAATTAAGTAGGGATTAACAGGGGGAAAAGTTCATTTTGTGCAAATGAATACACATCATATCATTGTTGATAAATCTGTAACCATTATTATAAACTCAAACATGGGAACAAAAAATAATAAAATAATGGTTCCTGTATAAAAAAAAAAAAAATAATTAGTTCTTTTGTCAGAATAGGGTAAACGTATGGCATGGAAAAAATCATTGATTAAGAATTTTTAAAGAAAAATAATATAAGCAAAACGATGTCTCGTCTCTCTTTTCCTTATTGAAAGAAAAATATAATAAATAAGTAAATAAATAAATAAATAAATAGATATTAAAATTCGTTATATTCAATCTGTACCTTAACACCAAGATTTGGCAAAGTTAGAAAGAAGACGAATGGCAATAAGAAACTCTTCGGTTAGTTCCACCGAACGATAGAAGATCGCCGTTAATAATGACGCACCGTTGTCGAGTAGCCCTTGAAAAGAAGAAAGGATATCCAATAGCTGAATTTACCATTGGGCAGAAATTAAAATAGGACACGCAACGAATGGGGATGGATTTGGGCTTGTCCAGAGATCAATAGACGTTCCACGATTAGCCCGATCAAGACACGAGATATCGGTGTGACTTACAAACGAAGGAAAATCTGTTCGTGGCAGTGCCGGCACGGAAATTATATTTTTAGAGGGCACCTGGGTCGGACAGCAATCGCCTCTCTGCTAAATTCACTCACTGTTTTAACGATAGTTATGAAACCGTAACGATAGATTTTTCTAGATAATCCGAGTCACAAACAATACACACACAAGTGAACATGACCATGCTATTCGAATAAAAACAATTAGAATGATAGTTTGCAAATATACTGCCGATTTAAGTATTTAACGAGCGGGCGCGGCGCGCACTTCTCAGCATGGCCGCCGCCATTACACTGAAATCGTAACCGTCTCAGGACCGTAACTAGCTTCTTCTTCTCCCTCATTTCCGCATTATACTATTTTTTCCTCTCCTTCTCTTACTTCCTTAATCTCTTTTGCGGATACCTGATCATTGCTTCTCATATAAAATCCTAAATATACAAATATTTCGTTAAAGTTTTTCTACGTCAAAAACTATACATATTTCCTTTTTAAATATATTCGACAAATCTTATTGGTGATTATAATTGCTAAAACATGAACATACTACACATATTATCTACTTAAATAATTCTTATCGTATGTGGTTCAGGAATTTTTATTTTTTTCCGTTTATAAAAAAAAAATAATTTCGTTAATTATTATATTGATGATAATAACATAAAAATAAATCAAATAAAACGTTGCTTGATTAGATATATCTGATAAAAAATATATATATATAATATATTATTTTTCTTTATATTTACGATAAAGAATAGAACATAAAATTAATAAATAATTTCAAACCAGATTGTTGTAAAACTCTTTATGAGCTTGATACTCAGTGTCGTATCAATAAAAAATGGTGCCACAAGTAAAATATATATACGAAATATTATTTTGTATTAACGAACATTTTGCCATATAGTATTAACCTTATTAACCATGATATTTTTCTGTACGCTGTGTTGTTTCTTTTCTCCTCTTATTTATGACTAATTTACGTATGTTTTAAAAATATATTGAGAATTATCGATGAGAAAGTGACTAGCTAAAAGCTGACTGCTAAAATCAAAGTAAAAAACTGTACAAAACACCAAAAGAAAAAAAGAAAAGGCACAAAAAAGACCAAAAGAAAAAGCAAAAAAAAAGCGACTACCGATTTGAAGATTGTTTTGAATGCATTACGTCACATATGTTCCATTGGTTCTGAACATGATAATTGATTTTATATCATGACGTGTTTAAAATTATCTAAATATGTACACAGCTCTAACTAAAGTGTGTCCAATTGGGAGTGATTTTTACAACACACAAGACTTTGGTTTAGTCGACACAGATAGAAAACGCTTTATCGTAATGAGATTATAACATTCTAATTTTACGAGGTTAATGTGTGGAGTCCAATAAAGATATAAAGATATATATTATTTATTTTTAGACAAACTTGATTGGATAAAAACGATTTATCATTAATTTCTTTTATGATTATTCGAATATTCATGAGTGAATGGAAAGAATCATAAAAATACAGTAAATAAATTTTCTAATATATTTTTTTGATCAATATCCTCGAAGATATGAACCAAAATAATTCAAGTTTTTAATAACTTTTCAATTTATCTTTATATATATTTGTTTATGCGATTGTATTAATAGTTTTCAGTAGATCACGAATTGATGCATTGATTTCATAAATTTCTTTACTAAAAACAAAAAAAAACAAAAAAAAAACAAAAAAAAAACAAAAACAAGAACAAAAAATGATTAAAAGATGAGAGTATGAAGAAAATAATCCTAGTAACAATCTTACATCTGCGATTTCTTTGCAGGCCTATCAAAAAAGAAAGAAGAAAGAAAAAAGAAAGAAAAGAAAATGAAAAAACATAAGGTAAATGTCGAACAACAACGTCGATAACAACGACGAGCAGAGATATTCGCTGCTCACCTTTTTATTGTCAGAGCCGCTGTTAGGTGTTGTACCTTGACCGTTTGTAGGCTCAGAAATTGTATCGATACGCGGGTTGCTAGTTGCTTCGAGATTAATACTCTGAACTACCAAGGCCTCTGGCGTACCGAGTATAGTACTTTCGGTAGCCGAATCGTTGCCGATTTCTGTTCGACTGTTATCAGTGTTGCTTTTGTCAGGTGCAACCGGTTCCTGACGATGGTCCGGCCCTGGGGACATCTTGACGTTGATTGACAGGACCGTGTCCGCCGTGCTCATAGTCTCCTTGTCATTCTTCGCAAGATGTCTTTTGGAACGTTTTAGGCGTTAGAATAATAGCAAGAGGAACATCAATAACGATTCTAATGAAAAATGTTTAACGAAGTATCGCTTACGATAATAGTTTCATACGATTCTTCAAATATAGTAACTTTGTTGTGATATATTTTGAAAATGTGACAATGACAGCGAAACAAGCACGAATATTTTCACGTTATAAGATTGACTAACGCTTTATTCGCTGAACGTCGACACGTCGTAGTTCTTGTATCATCGACTTACGAACGCGTGCTTTTAGAACAGTCCGTTCCCTGATTCGTTGACGACAACGACGACGACACAATTGGACGTATCGAAAGTGTAAGAAGAATAAGGAGAGCTTGAAATGTTTTTTTCACGCGCGTACTGTACGCGCACCGGGAATGACAAAAACGATATCATCCATTCCGTCAAGCGTGCTTCCAACTCTTGTACTTTCCCTTGCACTTGATCTTCCGTTCCAACACTTCACTCATTTTGTAGTTTACATTAAGGACATATCTTCGAGGTTAATTGAAACACTCTTTCTACATCTAACTTAATTTTTATCTCACTTTTGACTAAATCAAATAATGTTCACTCTACTTTCATCATTTACCTGGTTAAACCTAAGCTGTCCGTTCGTTTTCCTTTAACAAACGAAATTAATTTCGCATCTTAACGTAACGAAACTGTACGTCTATATCAAGATGTTATATTTCCTGTGCGTTCCTTCCAACACCTTTTTTTTATCTACGCTTTCCTTTTTTCACACCGCTCGACCTCCTTCCATTCACTTGAAAAAGAGACGACTACGACGACGAGAAATTGATATTCGCGGGTGTTCGATGCGACACTTAGTAAATCCAAGATGGCCGTCGTACGAAGAGCGGTACGGAGAGCGGCACGTACGCGTCAATCGGTCACGACTTATTCGAATGCAGACGCACAGTGTCCAAGTCCTCTCCTCGAAAAGGTTTCTACTCGTAAAAACGAGTACATAGCATGCGTGGACGGAGTACGAGGACGGGAGAGCGGATCCGTTCTCGTGCGTGACCCGTTGACGGCATCACTCTGTTTCGCGTTCGGTCTTTCGGCCTCGAACCAGCCGCTTTCTCCCTTACTCCTTCTATCTTTCGCTTTAGATACCTTTTTCTCTCTCTTCTTTGCACGCACCAGTGTCGTACCACGCACTCTTCCTCCTCATCTTTCGTCTTTTTCTTTTTCCTTATTTCTAGCTCGATACCTTATATGACACACAAGGAAGATTTCATGTAACTTCAAGGCAACTCTGATCAAGCTCACTGACACTTTCAAATCATTCACGGCAACTTATCGATCGTGCCAATGTTCACCTGTGTCAATTGTCCGTTATACCTTCGTACCACACTCTTCTCGACACGATCGTAGTCAAATATTCTGCCTATACAGATAGAGAGCGAGAGTGCGAGAAAGAGAGAAAGAAAAAAAAAGAGAAAGAGGGACAGAGAGGGGAAAGAAAAAGATCAGAGAGAAAAAGAGAGAGAATATATGAGGGGGAAATCATGAAGAAAAGGTAAGGATATAGACGTTACCTCGTTGTCTCTTCGTTTTTACAGCTCGATCATGTATACCAATTACCGAGAAATCTTGCTTAATGATCTATGGTCATTGATCGCATGTTTAACAAATCACGCATTAAATTTCACTCGCACATGTAAGTCAAATTATTAAAATCGTATATGTCCGTAACATTCGGTCAAACTCGGCGGCAAAGCGTCGTTTGTCTTTTTCCGTTTTCAATTGTTTCTTTCTTGTCTCTTTCTCTCTTTTTCTCTTTCTCTACATCTTTCTCTCCCTCCCTCTCTTTCCCCACTCTTCTTTGACGAACGACAGGAAAATGTCGATTGCACTAAGAAAAGAGAAAGATCATTTAAAGGCAAAGAATATGTGTCTCTCACACAGTCAACAATTTTTTTTGAGATGCAATAAAAACGACGATTACAATTTGCGCGGAGAAACACAACCGATCAGACGCCGTTTGGCCTCCGAAAATGTCGTCTGGTTTCAGGGACGTCATCATTCATTGTTGCACCTTGTACTAAATGATTCGTTACCTCGTATCACCAATCTATTTTGTCTACACATTCTGAAAATCTTTTTCTTTCTTCTTTTTTATTATTTGCTCTTCTTTGTTGTCAACTAAATTTTATACGTTGCAGTCGATACAGTTTATGTGTAAAATAATATCGAAATAATTTTATTTGACAGTACGAACTTTTATGTTTCTGTAATATAACGATGATTTTTCACGGAGTTACGTTTATTGATTTGACGATTTTTCTGCAAAAAAAAAAAAAAAAAGACGCTTAATCGGCTGAATAAATGTTTTTTTTTTTGCGTATAAATCTATAAAGAAGAATTTGAATGGTTTAAAAGTTTATGCGACGATCCTGCTCCATAGCAAATTTATATGCGTCACAAAAGTCGATAACTCTCGAACTCGAAGGAGTTCATACGATTCGATTGTATCGATTCATTGACGTTATCCGCTAAAAACCTAGATGAAACGGCGGAGAGCTGCGATTAAATACAGTAGTGAAGTACATTTACCGAGCGAACTGTGAGTGTTTAGATGTATAAATGTTATTAGATAAAATAAACATTGCAGATTATTAGAATAAGAGTTTTCTTCTTTCTTTCAGATAAAGATTTTTCATAGATATTACTTTTTACTAAGCCAAAAATCAAAGACGTAAAAATGATAGAAACTGAGAATATTTTCTTGTTCGTTCCTAATATTATAGGTAAATAAAAATGTTATAAACAAGATATAATATAAATTATTTTGATAACATTAGATTAATACTAATATGCATATTGTATGCATTTAATGTATAGATAATGCACAAAATAAAAAAAATAACTTTGGCATTTATATATAAGCATTAATTTAATTCATAGTTTTTTATTAAAAGGCAACGAACATTCAAAGCTGCTAATGATTTTAATAACTGTAGTATTTAAATACGAGCTAAGATTTGGCAATAAAGTTGTTATTTTAATTGAAATTTAAATTGTACATATAAACTTTGGAATATTGTTATATTGTATAAGTAATGTAAATCTTATCGCAGAAGTATTAGCATTTGTATGACTTCTTATATATTGATTAATATCTGTGTACTATTCTTTATATAGTATTTGAATATTTTTTTTAAATATAATATTATTTCTGTATCATTAAAGAAAACTTTTTTACTAACAGGTTATGGAAGAGTGATCTTGGCTTTGATATCTTTTTATTTCATGCCAAGTAATTATATTATTGCGTCTTCATGTTATATTATAAGTGCTTTATTAGACGCAGTGGATGGCCATGCAGCCAGATACTTCAATCAAAGCACAAAATTTGGTGCTATCTTAGATCAGTTAACTGATAGAGTTGGTACCATGTGTTTGTTGGCAACTTTATGTATGTTTTATCCTTCTTATAGTTTTTGGTTTCAATTAAGTATGGGTATTGATATATCTTGTCACTGGATTTATCTTCACACGTAAGAATTTACTAATTAGTATTGTTAAGGGTTATATCGAGATACACATATATTTTCTAATATCTTAAAAGATATTATATATACACATTGTTATTAATTAGTAGCAATTACTATACAATAATACGTTTACAGAACATTGCTACAAGGGAAGACGAGTCACAAATTTATTGACATGTCTGAAAATCCAATCATGCGGATATACTATACCAACCGTACCATTCTATTTTTCATGTGCGCTGGAAATGAAATGTTCTATGCTACTTTATATCTTCTTAATTTTACCGAAGGACCTATTTGTGAGTAATATTTTTATATAGATAACTGTACGCAATTGCATCAACTAACATTTTAAGTTATAATTACATGTGATAACGGAAAGTTAAATGGTATATTTATATAAAATATTACAGTAGCCGGTATAGGAACGTATAGGATACTGATGTATCTCTCAGCTCCAGTGGCAATAGTCAAGTCAGCAATCTCAATTTTGCATGGATATGTATCTTGTATCAATATGAGTATAATTGATCAGAAAGAACGTCAGGAACATCTTAAAGCAAACTAAAATGTCTTGCTTACATATATTACTTGCTAGTCATAGTAAATGTGATTAATTGATCTTCCTCATTTATAAAGTAACATATATTTAAAGGATGCATTTCAATATATATAAATATATATTATATATAACGAGTATATATCTTATTTGAAAATATAATAAAATTATTTATTTTTCATATTATAAATAAAGAACACATTTAATGTACTTGCTTCAAAATTTCTTTCACATTACAACCTAGATTTTTTTTATATTAATTTGCATCGAGTGAGTATAATATCTTTACTTAGTTGTAGGTTAAACAAAAAATATATTTATATATTATATATATGTATAATAATAAATATATTTTTACCTACAATAGAAATAAGGTATAAGGATATTGTCCTAATGATATCAGTAAAATAATTTGATTTGGCACTCAAAGAATACACACCTTTACAAAGAATTAACTAGCGATGTAACACTATTATATATGTTTATTTTTTATTTAATTACGAATATAAAGAAATGAAAAAAAATTCAAGTGAATGATAAATATTTTTCAAGATTAAGTCGTGGTTGTTAAATGTACTTTTATCTTTGCTACTATACCAAAAAAAAACAAAGAAATATTACAAGGACACGTGTTACAATTTTACGTTAAATACTATTCATAATGAATATAAATATTTTGTATGCACTATTTAAATTAAATAATAATTATATATGGACTGTTCACACAGTAATAATATTTCAATTGTGTTATAATAAAAAGATAAACTAACCTCAAAACTCTCGATTTCATTCTCCGTCATGACCAGTCATGTTTGAGCGCCATGTTCTTTACTTTAAACACTCGCGCATGCTGCTAAGTTAACAAAGTTAGCACAAGTTTTTTAGTAAGAATAAAACTTAACACAATAAAACTTTATATATATTCACTAAACATGGTATGAGATAAGGAATTCCTTAGCATGGATGATAGTTTTTTTGCTATGATCGAAGTATATAAAGTAATGTAGAATATTTATAAAAACAGATGAAAATTTGGTGTACCCGTGATAAAGTAAATTACAATGGAGTAGAGCGCAGTGTCGCTAGTTGGCCACAATGTAAAATGGCGCGTATTTTTCTTATTTAAATTTATTTTTCTAAATTACTAGTCGACAAAATTATTTTTGAAAAAAGTATTGAACTCTTAAGAGAATACAATGAATATTAAAATAACGAAACCCCAATAAAGGATACATTTTCATATAAAAACTTGAAAAGTAAATTAAATAAACAATTGTAATGTTTGAAATAAAAATTATATTTTTGGCATTTATTAATGTATTTCTAAGTAAATTCCTCTCTTTGTATACATTCAGTATATTGCCAAAAGATTCATTAATGATATTGAACACTCATAAATAATAAAGATTAATTTATATCGAAAGTTAATTTTAAGACCCACGTTATTTAGACATTTTTTACTCATCTCAGAAAACTATAAGTCCTTTAATTATCGAACCTTTTTTTTACCACCCTGTTTATATGAAATTATAATAATAGCTGTATCTTTATAAAGTTCTTTTGAAAATGTTTACGATATATTCTTACAATACTATACACTCAAAATATATATTTAAAAAAAACAATTTTTCAAAATCTTGTTGATTAATACATATATATATATATATGTATATAGTGTAACAGTTATCTATTAAAAAACACACTTCTTACACGCAAACACAAGAAATGAAAAAGACTAATTACTATGTAACTCATATAAGAATGTTTTCGTCATTACTTTGAAGCTGCTTGGTGAAAGTAGTCTTACATTTATATAAAAAGGAAAGCTTTGTATAAAATATATAAAACTGACATATGTAATAATAATAGTAAAGAATTTGTGCTTCTCAAAAACTTACAACTAACAGTAATCAATCTCTTACAGCTTAAATCGGTAACAAAGAAAATGTTATATTATCCGGTTAATAACAATGCAGTTAATATATTAATCTCGCAAAGCGATAATATAGTTTTCCTTAAAGTTTAAATCTGCTCTTGAAGGATAGACAACTTTCAGATTACCATCTGTATCAACTATTTTTACTTGCTCTACTTGTAAATTATGATACTGATTATTTTCATTATCTGAAGGTGTACAACCAATGCCTGTGATAATTAGTTCTTTTAAAAATTCATCTAGTACATTTCTGTGAAGAAAATATATATCGCGTTTAGTATTTAATATTAATTTATATAGAATTTTAAATTCATATAAGATTTTATTTTACCTGCAAACTTGATAAGACGTGGCACTTGTTACTTCTACTAACATATTTTTTGTTGTTGGTAACATTTTGGTTAAGTCACTATTACAAATTGGTGGAAATGATATAACTTGGTCTTTAGTGTCCATGAGACAAGGATATAGTGATTTACCTTCGAGTAAATACAGATATTTATGTATACCAGAATATACATTTCTCTTCTTTTCTTTACGTAAATTATCAGCCTCTTTTTGTAATTGCTGGAATAGTTCTATACCGGTGTAATTTTTATTTCTTTGTAATGGCTTTATTTCTAATTCCAAAGGTGGCTTTGCTGTATATGTTAAATCACCTAAATTATAAATTATAAATTACATATTGATACATTAAAATTAAAGTTTTATTAGATGGTATTATAAAATAAAAATTTCAATTGAATTTAACTATATGTTAAACTTTGGATTTAATATTTACCTGGCACAATTTGGTCTAAATCATGAGTGGCTATTGTAGCAGCATTTCTTTTTTCACATATTCCATCATGTAATTTAGTTTGTAATTGTATAAATTTTTTTAATGTGTCCGCTGTAAATACCAAATCTCTAATAATACATGCAGTTATGAAAGGTCTAACATTTTTCACATGTTGGGTTATTTTTATCGATAAAGTACTATCTGATGTTTTCAATACTTTCAATTTATGCGCTAAAGCATCTATCTGAGCTGCAGCATTTTCGCTTTCAGATAATTTATGTCCCTTTTTTCCTTTTTTGGATTTACTTGTAACATTATTGGAAGGATTTTGTTTCGGGCAATGTAATTTTACATATTCTAGTACTTGCTTTGTATGGCACTGGTCAACTAACTTTGATAATCTTTTATCCATCAAAGAATTATTTTTTAAATTCAATTCTTTCAATTTATGACAATCTGCTAATTCACCAGGAATAGCTATAAATGCAATAAATATATATGTATATAATAGGTTGTATTAACTATTATCCAAAATTATTTCGTGATGCATACAGTACCTGTAAGTAGATTATCAGCTATGTTGAGAACTTTTAAAGCTTGCAGACGAGATATTTCCCCAGAAATACTTTGAATCAGATTTTTGTTAACATGGATTTCAGAAAGATGGACTAATTCGGTATAACATACATCAGGAAATGCTTGCAATTGATTATTAGACAAATCTAACGTAGTCAATTTAAGATTTTTCATTTGACATGGTATAGATTGCAATAAATTAGAACCAAAATTAATGCTATTCAATTGAGGAAGATTTTCAACTGCATCTGGCAGAGAAGTCAATTTATTTTGCGAACAATGAAGAAATTTCAATTTGGTTAATTTTTCAATAGACTCAGGTAGTTTGTCTATCTCGTTCGAATGTAATACCAATGTAGTAAGGTTTTGTAATTTTCCTATTTCTTCAGGTACTTCTCGAAGACACGTATGGGTTATGTTTAAGTAATTTAAATTGTGAAGATCAAAAAGCATTTTATCCAGACCATTTTCAGCAATCAAACGAGAAATTGACGGACCGGTTAGAACTAATTCGTGCTTATTCTCATCAGCTATTTGTTTAATAATATCCCATGAATTGTCAAAAGCCATTATTGTCGATTATATCTCAAATTTATATTATTGATAATAGAACAATGCTTTAAGTAAGGTTATACGTTGTAGATTACAACCAAATTTTCTTATTTTCCAATGATTGTTATTAATTTATACATACTCTTATTCAATATAAATAAATATTTTTCTTCTTATTTATTAAATGATCCGTTAGATGTATTAATTCAAAGATATAAATAGGAGAGATAGTTCTTAGTAACTCAGCCTAAATAAGACTGCGTAGATAAGACAACGTATATATTGTAGAATATGATGCAATATACATTACTTATATTATAAGCGTTAATGTCTTTTCTCAATTGTCTTTCTCAATAATCGTTGAACGGACTATGTTGATAAAATCATTTTTAGTATCACAAAACAAGTGAAATGCCGATAGAGTATTTGAAAAAACAGACTTGAAACGTTAAATTTTGCCGCTAGATTAAGACTCTTCACAACGTTTACTTCAAATCCTGAACGACTTCAGTGACATACACGGAAAAAATATAAATTAAAAGTGCAACAGGGGATCCATTATGCACCACTAGATCGGTACATAAATTTGTGTAATTACATCAATCTAGTAGTATGAGTGAAGGTAGAGCTTATGAAAGTGTGGATTGCAACCCCATATGGGATCGAACGAAGAGATACGATGCGACGTAAAGATGCAATGAATGCATCAAGTGCAAACTCTTTTATAAATCGCGATTTCTATTTGGATGAAAATAAAGAAGTATTGTATATATAAAAAGCTATATTTAAACACTGATCCTTACACGCTTATTAGAATTAATATTTTTCTGAAACAATATAAAATAAAAATGACATTAAAACAATTATTGTTTGTTAGGTGTGGTATCTGCAAAAATATAAAAGTTATTAAAAAACATTATAAAGTAATTAGTTTCTTTAGATGAAATAGATAAAAGGAACCAAGGAAAGGAATAAAAGAATTTGATATTAATTAGGAAGTTAAAAGAAACTAATTACAATTATAATGTTTATGGTAAGCGGTCTTTGGCTAGATTTTACTTGCAATGGAATGTATAACATATAAAAAATGTTAAACATTATACTGAAAGTAAAATACCATTGCCCAGGTCTAACCACGAGGAGGTAACCGCTTCTGAAGACCCGGGATGTGCATCCTGAAAATGTCCCCATCCGAATTAGATTGAAACCAAAGAAAATAATCATCCCGAGAACGTTTTTTAATGAGCCCCACTCTTAGGCCCCACCCTAAGAGTTACATTCAAGAAACCTTACAATAATTATCGAGAATAAAGAGAAAAGTTTGAATACTGAATAAGGAAATGAAAATGAGAAATGAATCTGAAATAAACTCAAGTAACATCCATGATTTTAGTGAAAACTAACACACTTTAATATAATTTTAATAGATATACATACGGAGATTAAAATTAATGAATATTTTATATTTAATAATTTTCAATCTACCTAAAATATAGTATAATAAAAAAAATATACATAATTTATGCTGCATATCTGTAAAGAAAAAGAAAAGAAAGTGCATTAAAAATACCTATCATACATGTGCAATGTTACAAGGAAAACAATAAATGGATTAAAATACTTCATCTATATTGAGAAACAATTATTTTATATTAGCGTTTACCATAACTCTGTCCTCTTCTGGTCATCTTCTAATTCACTTCCCCTTCCTCTTGGACGGAATGATTATATGAAGCAATAAGCTGATTAAAAATATTCATTTACTTATAGAAATAATAATTTTCTACAACAATTTACCAGAACTCCAGTCCTTTTTTAGTCCGTTTCCGCCTTCTCTTGGACTGATCTATGGTACCTATACAAATTTCGACTAATCCATGGTACTTGTAAAAAGATCCATGGTACCTTTAAAAATTTGTACTGATCCATGGTACTTGTAAGAACATGAAAGTGCATTAAAAATGATTTTTCTCACGAGTTCGATTCAATATGAAAGTAATAAACATATTAAAATACTACCGTTTTTACCATACCTCAGTCCACTTTTGATCACCCTTTCATTTCTTGTTGAAAAGAATTTTGCATCGTCTCCATAATTCATCCTGCCAACAAAATATTAAAAATAGGATCGTTTGGTGTGGGGTGGGGTGTTGAGGAATTCTAGGTAAGGACATGATTTTCTCCCAATCAATGGAAATAGAAGAAAATCATGGCTCGCGTGGGCAGGGKCGCATCCCTGAAGTAAATTTTTCTTCGCAAAGAAAGAATCTACCCGCTACCCATTGAAAAAAGAAACTAGAAACGAACCTGAAAAAAAAAATGAACGATTAGTTTAAATTTGCATAGATGCAATGAATGCAACAAAAGCATGTTCCTTATTTATATGAAAATCCAATACTTAGAAATGCATTGGAATTAATCATATCCTAAAACAAAATAAAATAAAATTAAGAGTTTCAACAATAATTGATTAAATCTTAATACCTAATAAAATAAAAGAATCATTAAAAAACATTATAAGATAATTAGTTTCTACGAATGAAATGAAGAATGAAAAGATGAACGTGTGATGATATGAAATTAGAAAATAATATGATATTGGAGTGGGAGTTCGGGAATGGTATTGTACTCTATCATGATTTAAAAGTAATATCATTTAAAATCAAATTTTATTAACACTCGATTTATTTTTAGGAAAAATAATGTTTGATGTTTGGTGGGTGGTATGGCAAATCCCACGATGGTAACCTGAAACATTCAGCAAACTATGTTAGTTACTTCCATTCTTAAAAAACCACAATAAATTATTGACGAGCAAAGAAAAATCAAGCA